AGCACCACGATGTAGTTATAGTGGGTGTTATGTGACTATAGTATGATACCAGACCCGAGTAGACTTTCTCTTACGAGAACTGTAGTTCCTAACATGCATTTTGGCGAAAGTTCAAGCTACGAAGTCGCCCCTGCGCAAATATCAAAGCCTTTGATAGCCTTCTTGTCGGATAATTGAATGGTCACAACGAATATGATCAGGGAACTGAGGAAGCCCATTGCGAAATATTGACCCGAAGGTATTCAGTTGTAGAGTACCTCGTAAGAGACGTCATGGCACCACGCAAAATGATGGGTAAGCCCCGTGTATGACTCAATTGCCATCCTGCAAGACAATTATTTCAGCCATCAGTATGTGATAGTCGCCACTTTGCGAACATACTTGTCGTTGCTGCAATTCAAGATATTATCGAACATCCATCTGCCCACGTCCTCTCGGCAAATTGTATATCCTATGGCTAGGCTCTTCACGCCACTGACAGGATCTTCGACACCGACCTTGATTGCAACACCAGAAGTTTCGTTTCCGTTGGTGAGAAAACTAGCTCGGAGAACTGTCCATTCTTCTCCGGAGTTGAAGAGAAGCTCCTCCAACGCGCGCTTATCCTGGTGTGGTGTGGAGAGAAGGCCCTTGTATATGGGGTAAATGATAAGCGGTGTGTCTCTGCCAAACTTGGATATGCCAGTGCTGCTCTGTCCGATGACACGAGGACGTCCAGAAACTCCTCTTTCGGTGCGTAGGGTCTTGATGGCATTGAGAAGAACAGCCATGCCATGCTCACATACATGTACGTCCTCAAGAGTCATTTTTCGCAACTCAAACCAGGCACCAATGGTGGAGATGACGAAGTCCACAAAAGATGTTGCGTCATGAGGCGAAACGATACAATTCTTGATGGCTTCCATGTCGTGCGCGTTTCCCTTGAATACTTGAAGATTGGGATGGACTTCGGGGGAGAGTACAGACGTAAGTTTGTCTGGGTTCCGACAGAGTGCGATGCACGTGAAGCCGGCGGCCAGCGATCGACGCAAGGCAGCTTGGCCACAGCCGCCGGTTGCCCCGAGGAAGAGGATCGTCTTCGGGGGTTGCATGTTGACGGACTTTACAGTGGAGACGGGGTAAGCCGATTACGGATGCGACGATGCGAATGCGGGTACCGGGGTCGGCAAGCTGGGGTGTAGCCGGACGGGGCGGAAGTCCGGTCGCAAAGCTGCAGTGGGGAGAGATGAGTAGAAGCAGCTGTATGAAAGCAGTGCGACTGTATGCTAGTTGCACTTTGAGTTTCACAGTAACAAACAAATGCGTGAGGGCCGAGAAGGCTAAGAAGTCGAAAACAGTGTTGATGGTGATCACAGTGGCAATACTGACTGACAGCAGCGGTGCTCTGGGGCGAGGAAGGCGACGCCCTTTTATTCTTTCCCAAAGCGCGGCGGTAATGCGATTCTCTACAAGGCAGCATCGCAATGGCAAAACCACATCATGGCGAAGGCTTCATGTTGAGCCGAGTTGCTGTTGGTGGCTTGGGCTACGACCCAGACATATCGGTCGAAGGATTAGATCCCTGACGCCACAAAGGTATTTCAGTGATAGGAAAGGGAGTCGACGGTCGAGAATTCCTCCGCCCTTGCTCCCCGTCCGGATTGTGGCGTCCAATCAGATTCTTGAATCAGTGGTGGCCCTGCACGCATAGTAAGCTTCTCAGGACAGACAACAGGACAAACTGGCCGATTCTTCACCCATGATTCCGTGATCCATGAAGAGGTGGGCTCAAATCGTACGCGGCCCGCCCGGGCACTTGGTCGTTCGGTTCTCTTGCAGTTTATCACTCGACCGAAACCCTGCGCCTCCTCAGTTCTGCTGATGCATTGTCATCACCATCGCCCGTTGAGTTCAAACCTTACTGCCTGCAAAACCCCTCTTCCCTGACTCGTTTGCGATTCTCGATTCTCAAATAGTGACTCCCTCAGGCTTCTGGCGCCGCGTGACTCCCGCGTAGCCGAGCCTGTTCTGCGAAACTGACGCTTCTGAAGCTTTTGAAACTGGCAGGCTTCATTCACATCGTCTTCGCCATGGCTCTTCATCTCTTCATCCAGATGACATATGTCGGCCTAGCGTGACATTCCGGATATCGCCCACACTCGTCACGAAGCAACCCTACGAGTGTCACTTTGCGACCTCGTCGAGAAATTGGCTTCCAACTTGGCATCATTGTCCCGTCTTCGACCGCCAACTTGTACTGGCAGCGCGCAAGATGGGCATCGGCAATACTGCGGACGACATGCGCATCCCTGCAAACCCAACCTTGAAGCACAAACGTGACGTTTCGTTGTGGCGAAGACAGTCTCCCCTACTCTCATGCGGTACTGGGTGCGGCGATTCACTCCAGCGTGGGCGGTACAGGATCGTTTGAGTTTCGTCTGAACTCTCACATCACTTACTTCCTCAAGGAACGTGCTGGATGAATCCCAATGAGCAACTTATCAAATCACAAGTCACAAGCAAGAGCTTTTTCCCTCGGCCGGAGGGTTGTCACGACCCAGGTCTCATCCATGCTGTTTCGTAGATCTCTGACACCAGCTCCCAGCTGTCGGACTACGCTTTTTCCTATGGTCACAATAAAGATAGCAGTGTGCCTCCAGATCGAATCGCTCGAGCACGACCAGATGTGATCTGGTTATCATCCCTAGACCAATCATTTGATCCCATCCTGGATTATTCGACATGCTTGTGGGAAAGTCGGTCCCGGAACTCATCCTGGTGAGGACCATGGTGGTCTTCTTCCAGTACCTAGGCTTCTTATGTTTCATTTACTTCTGGTTTATTTTCGCCATAGTAGGTGTGCCTGGGATTGCTCACCCCGTGTCTATCATAATCGAAGTCATTGGCCTTATCGAAATCGTCTTCTACTTCGCCTTTTATCTTCCATTCCGATCTCGCTTACAGAAGCCGGGCTTCGAAGTCGAACCATTGTCGCAGGCCGAGCGCCGACAATTCTTTCAAAAGGGTCTTGACCACGCTCCAGATGTCGAGCAGTACATACGGAAATGGCATTGCAATGCCCAGCTTGGAGATATTCGCAGAGAGAATGTGAAGGACTGGTTGATGTGGGCGCTGTTCGACAAGCAGGGCAATCCAGGAGAGCATGACGCCGAGCTCGAGGAATATATCGCAGATGCAGAAGAGCGCGCGGGAGTAACCATCAAGAAGGGATATGGTGACTCTACCCCAATGCGCCTCAGTGTCGATCCGATCGACATCAGGCATCGCAGCTTGCTGTTCTATCTTGTAAGTTCATCACCTTTCAGCGACGAAGAACTAGCTCATGAGACAAAATCAGATAGTAGGAGGCCTCGACCTCTTTGTGACCATTGTCCTAGCGATCAGAGGGTTCAAGTTTTACCGACAACCGCGCAAGACTTTCTTCTCCGTCTTCCCTCTGCGACCTATGACCCTCCTGGCACCGAATGAATCGAATAGCTCGCAGCTGAGTTACTTTTGCCGTCCCCATTCATCCAAGGAACATCGCCCGATCCTGTTTATCCACGGAGTTGGTGTCGGCCTGCTCCCATATCTATACTGGCTGTGGACTATTCCTAAGGACGTCGGTGTGCTCTGTATCGAGATACTACCCGTCTCCTCACGCATTTGCCCGCCGTTGCCCCCAACCGATGAGCTTGTCGCCGGCATGGATGCAATTATTCAGCAACAAAATTATAACGACTTTGTGTTTGTGGGAAACTCCTTTGGTACCCTATTTGCGGCCCCCCTCCTCAAGAAACCAGACCTGGCGAGACGAATAAACTCCATCGTCCTCATCGATCCCGTTTCGCTGCTGCTCCATCTTCCTGCAGTGGCCTACAATTTCACTCGACGAACACCGAAATGGGGCAATGAATGGGAGATCTGGTTCGTAGCCACGGACGCGATGACAGCGCACACCTTAGCGAGGCGCTTCCGCTGGCAGGACTTTATTCTCTGGACCCCTGAGCTTCAAGGGAAACGCACGACAGTAGTCTTGGGTGGGGAAGACTGCGTAACAGATCCAGACGCGGTGGCCAGCTACGTCTATTTCGGCGATCTCAGCTATAGCCGCGCTGATAAGCACGAGTGGTCCACTACTCCTGACAGATGGTCAGGGCAAGGGGAGCTAGAGCTGATGTACCTGGCTGGCATGGACCACGGACAGGCATTCCTCAGTATCAAGCATATGCCGCGGATAGGGAACGTGGTATTAGAGTACACGAAACTAGACCAAGAGATGGAATCTCGACAGGCAGAGGCTGTGAAAGAAGAAGAGCAAAACCAGATCTGAATGATTTTATGATTTATGGGGGTCCTATCTGCTCTTTGGACTGCAGTCGAGAGGTTATGGTCGGGAACCTGCCCTCGCATGCAAAAGTCACTCGATATCCACATGTACATTACAATGAGAAGATATAAATGATCGTTCTCCCCTGCGACTGAACCGAATACACATCCTGCGTATTGAGTCTTGTCTTGGGCAATACATGACAGAGAGGATGAAGAAGCGGAAGACGCGGAAGACGCGAGAGACTCAAGGGTCAGCATGCCAACCCCCCACATTTCTCCTGCCCCTTAAGCACCTCGGGTTGCCGCCGCTGAACTTGCCATTTCTTTTCTTTTGCGAGATGTATCAATTGCGTGAAAAGGAAATTTGGGCAGCTTGTCCTTGCCTGATGCAAGGGGTTGCCAGGACTGGTGCGGCCCCAAGGCGCCACAAGTTAATCAATCGAAACGCTCCATCGCCGTTCGAAGTAATCAGATGCTTGCCTTTCCTAGGGTCTAAGATGAGCCACGACACGTCCTTCACATACGCGACGCGTCTTAGCCTTCGGAACAGTTGGGATTGATGGCACCTCCCATTCGAGACGCTTGGGTGATTGAGCGATGGCTATTTCGTCGATAAAAAGGAGATCTTCCTCCTCAGAATATTGGTCAAGGTTTAGCCTCCATCAATTCTTCCGCCGCGTACCACAACCATGGCCGAAGTCGAGGACGCAGTCAAAGATCCCACCAGCCTCGTGCAAAGCATGTTGCATTCCATCTGCACAAACATGGCAGTGAGCTGCGCAAGAGAGGTCATTCCCGAAGTGCACAGTCCGCATGTTTTCACCGTGGAATTCCTCCAGCCTCTTTACCTCATTTGCGCCTTCCTCGACATCAGTCCTGAAGGCAAGCAACTTGGCGACACGGTAATGACCCAGCTAACCTGTTTGGTAGTATGGCACGGCATCCTCATGGAAGCAGCCAATCTGCTGGCCTGTAAGCAACTCAAAATCGACGAATGCGAAAATCAGATCTGTTTTTCGAGGCGGGACCGGCGGAAAAAACACCGCAAGTCACCATGCTGCGCGTGCTGCCTTTGCCTACCAGGCTGCCGTCGTTGTGACGCCGAGCTACAGGTGCAGTCGTACGAAAAGCCACCGCGAAAGCAGGAGCGGTTTGAGCTCCTGTTCAGGAAATCCCATTTGTGGGATATATACTACGCTATGTGTGGTGTGTCGGTACGTTAGGCGTAGAAGGGGAAGCATGGTCGCTTCAAGGTTCGCATTTCACTCGTCTAACAGTTGGCTCGAGTTTAAGAGCCCATTCGACAGGTTGCCCGGGATCCAGCTTTGGAAAAGCCAACAATCGCATGTAAGTGCCGTCGGTACGCTGGTCAGGTCCTCTTAACATTTGGATAGAAAACCTATCGGCTCGAAGCATTCCTCGTCAAGCAGTCAGGAAGAAAGTACGAGCTCCAGAAGACCTGCATGAGGGACGGGCCGGCCAGGCATGTGCTCGAGATCGAGGGACTACGTACAGAGCTGCTGCGCAACACAGAGGCGATGGAGGCTCTGTTGGCGGAGAACGAGCGGTTGCAGGCGGAGAACGAACGGATTCAGGCGGAGAACTCGCAGCTGCGGCGGGAGAAATGCCACTATGTGAGGCTACTTGAGTCGGCAGGCGTGCCGGCGCCGTCTTCACTTGAGCTTTCGCTGTTGGCTGCGGCTGATGACGGAATTCTGGCAGGGGGGGTCGGGGAACCAACTTCTGATTACGAAGAGGAGTAAGTCAACTCCCACCACCCGAGCTGAAATCGTCGTGGTTGATAAAGCTGACACTCCATTCAGTGACCCGGGTACTAGCTCTGCTAGTGATCAAGACAGTTCATTGTCTGATGCCCCTGCGCTGGTACCGGCCACGAAGGCGAAGCGCAAAGGCTGGAAGGATGTGATGCATACTAGGCATTGTCGACAGCGCTGGAGTGAAATTGAAGAGCTACTTACGCAGAAAGATCTTGCCGATGTCGAATCCGAACTTCGGCGTCTGACACGGCACTTGCCGCTAGAGTTCAAGGTCACCCGGCGGCGCGACACTGATCATGTTTTTGTGACCCGTTTACGCCATAGTCTTTGGGTTGGGAAATATGTGGAACTTTACGACACTATCGATGAGCGGATGCTTCCAGTTGCAGGCGCGTTGTTAGCACTTTTCAAGACGGTCCCAAAGAAGACCAGGAATTCTGCTTTCAAAGCCTGTTGGAATCGCCACAACGCGATTCATGGCATGTACGTTGGAAGATGTCATGCTCTTGGTTATAACACCAGTGGGGAAAGTCTGGCCGGCGAAAGCTGATGTTGTACTTGGGCTGCTATTGTACCTCTTTCCTGTCTGCATTAATTTTCTCTTAGAACATTGTTGTTGCCTGTTGTGCATGGTGCGCTACTTCGCCTATGCATCCTTACTCCATCGCCGCGTCCCACCCCCAAAGGAGTGCTCGATGAAATTGAAAGTATGAAGAGTATGGAATGTGTCCATTGTTCATGACAATACAAAATTCGGTATTCTGTTTCTAGTCGCAGTTTAGCGGGCTAGCAGGGGGTGCCATGATCTCAGGTCTTTATGATTTGGGCGCGTCTGTCAAGGGCACATATCGAACACCAAAAAGCTTCTCCTTGACGACGGAGCCGTCCTCCTTCTTGTCAATGGCCCAGACATACTGGTCGTAGCCGTTGTCGTCCTCGACGGGGATAAACATTCTGTACTGCAGTCAGCCCCCGCGACGACCGTCGTCGACATACAGGCAGTCTACTACTCACCTGCCCGGAGCGCGCAGCTGGTCCACCAGCTCCTGATGGAGCTCCACGGCTGCAGCGCCGACGTGGATGGCATCCCACCCGGTGCCGCCTCCCTCTTCCCCTGGCCGCGGGGCTTCTACCCACCCCTTCCTCCCGTCGCCCGTGTGAAATCGCACCTTGCCGCTGTCCAGCAAAGCCCGCCCTTCGTCGCTTTTCCGCATGTTGCGCTCTCCCAGGTCCCTCAGCGCTCCGATGTGTTCCAGTCCGACCACCAGGCCCTTTTCTCCCACCAGCTCCGCGAGCAGGTGCGTCAGGTACCCCGACCCCGAGCCTATGTCCAGCACGCGCGGGGCCGGTTTCGTCGCGGAGGGGATGAGGTGCGGGAGGAGGGATTCGGCAGCGGTGGCATGCATGTGCGGCGCGGAGATGGTTGCTTTGTGACCGATGGACTGGGGAGAGTCTTCGTAGGGGGCGGAGGGAGCGTAGTATGCGCGGTCAACCTAGAATGTCAGCACCTCTCTCTGCTCGCGCCAGCCGTTACCTTGGCGAAGTGGCGAGGCATGCCATTTACCTTGAGAAAGGCGTCCTTGACCCGTTGGTCTTTTATGAGACCATTGCGCCACAAGTTCTCGACGAGGTCTTTATTTGATGCGCCGGAGCTCCGCCAGGCCATCTTGAGGTTGAGAGGGAGGGAGCGGTGCACTTGGCGTGTGGGTTGATCGTTGACCGAGCTTGGGACGAGCTTGAGAGCTCTCCGAACGAGACGGTACCGAGAAATCGTGGCGGCGAACAAACCCGAATAACGATAGAAACAGATGGAAAAACTCGAGGGACCTGGAGAAGGTGGACAACTGTGTCGCGGTGTATTGAGCTAGGTACGCTTCCTTACCTAGGTGCTTATCAACATGAAGAATGGAAGGTGCACCTAGGTATGTGGCGGGAGCAGGTCGATGCTCTCGGGCGATGGTTCGCGTGGAATGATGCAACCCGCTTCCCCAGAGCTTCTAGAGCCGCTGGAGATGAGGGGCAACTGCAGTAAACCGTTGCAGTTCCGAGTCCACAACACCCCGGCGAGCGCTAAACCTTCGCCCCCGCTTACGGATCATCCCGCTGCGACCACTAAATTCCCTTGAAAGATTCCCCACGAGCACCGCAGGAATGTCACCGTTTTGCTCCGTCAAGGCCAACCGTGTCAGGTAATAATCAACGCTGTCGGAGGTTTTGTTTGTCACACTAGTCGGGCAGTCGAGGAGCAGATGTACTAAAAACTCATTTGTGATGTGATACTGAGGGAGGGCCTCGCGCTCCCATGGCCAAATATATATGCAGATTACCCGACGCCGTGAATTCCCATCCCATTAGCAACCCACGATGACACAGCCAAAGAAATAGTAAAGGGTGCCATTGTTGTAGACTTTTGTCCAGTAAACGGAAAGCCTACGACACATTGCTGCGCGTTGTGATGCATGAAGACGCCAAAACTAAACCACTCTCTCCGTCGATTCGCCCTCGGCAATGATGGGCACGGGCAGGCCGCGGTCTGGGCTCTGGAGCACCAGCTGCTCGTGTCGCCTCGCCTTCAGATAATCGCTAACAGATCTGATAAGGACGAACCAGCCAACTACCATTAGAATGTAGGCAATCCACTCCTGTCCAGTGATGTCCGCCACGCCGCCGCCACCCTCGCCCGTGACCGCGTTGGGGTCGAAGTTGTGAGAATTTGGGTCGGGAGGCGCAGCGTAACCGTCTTGGCCGTTCATCTTGGGTGGATGGTCACCCTCCGTCGTTCCCTTCATGTAGAAGCCGTACTGGATCAGCGTGATGCCGAGGCCCGCGCGCGAACCGTTCTTGGCGGCGTGGGTCGAGTGAAGGAGGTAGGTCAGGATGAAGCCGACGATCTGGAAGGACATGGAGATCATGCCGTTCCAGACAAAACTGAAGAGTGAGCCCACGGGCATGCCGTCGATGTAGACTTCGTCGGGGCCGCCGAGGCCAGGAGCGAGGATCGTGGTTTCCCAGTAGGGGGGAGCGGCATCGGCAGCGGCCTGCTCGTACGTCTATTTTCTGTCAGTATTCGCTCGAAATCACGATTATTCTGCCCTTGGGGATTAATGCGACGTACGGGAGGTTGTTCTTCCTTCACCTCGCCTCCACGCTCGGGCTTCGCAGTCAAGTTGGAAAAGACGCCTTCATTCTGGATGCCGCTGCCGTAAATGCGGAAGGGCGTTGTCGGGCCGCCGGCGGTGGTGGAGGCTGTTGGTGGCAGTTGTGTGACATGGCGTTCGGGCTGGGGTCTCGATTCGGAGGAAGGGTTGCGTGATGCGTCGCGGGAAGCCTGGGTGGAGTCGGCGCGGACTAAGCGTTGTCGGTCATCGGCGTCGTCATCGCTACCGTCACCGTCGGTATCGAAGGCGTCTGCCAGTGCGGGATCAACTCCACGACGGTCGCGCGAGGACGCTCTGGAGTGGAAAGAGGGCGGTGGTGAGTTGGGGACGGGGTGCGATTGTCGTCTTGGCGGAGCGGAGTTGGGGGCTTCGAAGCCGTCTTCATCGTGATCATGGGCATTCACCTAATGGAACAAGACGTGAGTATGTTTGTCGTGGCGGTGGAAGGTATCGGGGCCAGGCTATGAAGCTTACCCTCTCATAACCTCCAGCCATCTTGACGATGTTTTTTTGTGTGGGTTTGCGGCGTCGTGTTGAAATCGAGGAACTCGAAAGGCCCCTTTCGCCACTACGGACGATGCGACTAGCGTTGATTGATTGAAACGGCGAGAGGGAGATGGGAAAAGGCCAGTGGAAGAAGATGAAGTCGGGAGGAACGCAGAGGAAAAGAAACAAAGCGGCAAGGAAAAATGTCGATCGTCAGTCGGGATCGTAGGAGACGTCGGAGGGAAGAAAGTCGGCAAAAGGAATGACGGGTGTTTGGAGGTTGCTAAAGAACAATGCAAGGAAAAGACGACGAGGGCGACGGGAAACAGCCGCAGCGGGCGGGCTTCTGCTGCTGTTCCTCCTGCAGTCGCGGCGGTTGGCTCGGTGCGTTTGGGGGGCAGCCGACGGAGGTGCACCTCACTAAGGGGCGAAAGTACGGGTGGAGGCTTATGCGTCGACTTCCGTGCCTTCAGTGTTGGGTAGGTGTCTTACATAAGGCAGGCTTTGCGACAATAAAGGCGCCAAAATGCCTGGAGCAAGCCCCTGTGCCCCCTGTGGCAGTGATGCCCTTTGACATGGCTCGGGACTATGCGCTAAGCCATTCCAGCTTAGCAGGCCGTGGCCTGGGGGTGCTGGAACAGTGGGGGGGACATGGCGTGGGCACGAGACAACTGGGCGAGGTCAGTCATGTGACCTGCCAATCCCACACTGCACTCGCGCGAACCTGTTGATTTCGACTCGGTCTACAGCGTAGCTTTCGTCTCTCGACACTGTCATGGCCTAGGTAGGAATGGGAGCAATCTGGAATGCTTGAGGCGATACGGTTGCCGCTACCTTACCGACCAATGACATTGGCATACCTCGCTTGGGCATGACAATGATGAAGATGGAGACACTAGCGATAACACCCATTTCTCAACATCCGTAGCCGGCCACATGGTACCTTGTGTTACCCGTTCTGCATACATGATTCTAGACTCAGCTCAAACTTGCTGTGCCTTTATGGTGTTTTACTGCTGCCTCTTGTCTCGGTTTTGCAGCTGCTTCGTGAGTGGTTATGGGCCGGGGTTGCGCCTGGCACCTTGAGCTGCCTGCTTGCTACTTAGTGACGTGGTTTTATTCATAAAGTATATAAGTCCTCCTTCTAATGGTTACTGTTATTAACTTTAGAGATTTGGTCTTCTGTTTTCATTTATTGAATTGCTGGATTTAGTCTCATTTGGGGTATCTTCTAGGGTAAACGATTTCTCAAAGGTATTTCACAACGGTTCTTGGCCAAAAGGCGCTGAGAAAGCTACAGGGTTTCTCGATCAATGTCCATCGCCTAGGTAGGTACTCAGCCGTTTAAACATGAGATAAATGCAAAAAACAATGCGAATTCAGGGCACCATGCAAGCCGACAGACATCACAAAGACTTAATCATGCCCCAGGTACGGTACTCAGTCTCGCGTGCACCTACCTACCCTGCGGCAGGCCGTCGTCAAGAGCCAATCAGAAACCTTACAATAATCCACCCCAAAGCTGCTCTGCCGATTGCCGGAACGGGTAAGCTCCGGGGCAGCGTGCGCTCCAGAAATGAATTTGCGTCTGCCGTCCAGCGCAAAAATCCTTGACGTCGATGACGGCGTCTTCCATCTTTTGCGACTTCGCCATCTCGTCGCATTAACCCCCCCTCCGCCGGCTAGGATTCACTTCCACGGCGAGACCATGTTGGGAGAGTAACAACCAAACATTTCACCCTTCCTGTTCTCTTCGCAAAAATGGCCCGGTCAACAAGCGTGAGTAGTTCCCTTCTTCGCTGCAGCTCCCACGATGCGTCCCTCCGTTGCTTACACGGTTTGACTGCAGCAAGCATACAAGCACTTCCAGCGCGCTCTGGCGCTGTGGCCGAAAGACAACCTCCGCCCCGAAGTCCAGTTCCCCGAGTTCGCCGCCCGCGGCCTCGAGAGGAGGTTTGCCAACCCCGCCGTCGACGAGTTGAGCGAGCTGAAGCAGGCCAACGCCCTGTACGCCCTGGCCGACGACAGGTTCAAGAAGCAGGTGTGTGCCGCGGCCCCGTGCGATTGACTTACCTCCCGCTGACCGCCCTCAGTTTCCCTTGAATGGCGAGCTGCTGCAGCCCAAGAGCCAGCCCACATACTTCAATGATTTGCTGAGAGAGCTGGAGGAGGCCCCCACGAGAGGCTGGCTGCAGAACATGTCCAAGAAGCTCAGCGGCATGTTCAGATTCCAGTAATGAAGGACATGATACATCAAATACCCCGCGCATGTCGCACCGTCCCTGGCAAGGCCATGTCCCTCTGCGAGACATTATTGCTGGACCCTCAACTATGTACAGTACCATGTATAATATCTGTACCCCCGTATTGTGTGTCTATGCCAACACAAAGTAGACCCAAACGCCATTCTATTTTCAAGTACCAACGTCTCCTAAATGTATCGTCTCTCGGGGTCCATCTTGTCCATGAAATCCATGCTCTTCTCGTACATGGTAAACACCAGTCCTCCGCTCACAATGAGACGGGCCAGACGAGGCAGCGCACCGCTCCAGAACGTCAGCAGCCCCTCCTGCTTGAAGATCATGCCCGCGCAACGGAACGAGTTGCCGTACTGCGTCCGTGCCTCGATGCTCTGCATTCTGGTCTTGATCGTGTCGAGAGGCTGCGTGACGTAGACCGTGATCAGGCCGGCGATGCCACCCATTGCAAAGGTGCCGACGGCGCCGAGCTTCTCCCCAGGCGCAGTGTAGGACTCGGCCAGCTGCTTGAGCATGTTGTATGCGCCGAACCGGGTGGCACTGTTGGCCGCTTGACGTGCCGTCGTGGGGACGAAGCCCTGGAAGAAGCCGCGGATTCCACGTTCGCGGGCGATGATGGGGACGGCGTGCAGGAAGCCGCGCATACGAGGCTTGGGGGATTTCCTATCGTCGATGCTGCGAGGCAAGTGGTTAGTAGGGCGGTGGCGAGACTCGTCGCGATGGGAATTGACCTACAGCGTCGTCTTGATACTCTCAAACGGCGTCACGGCCAGCGCGGACTCTGTGACGCCAGCGCCAAAGCCGGCAATGACCGTCTTGGGGCCTGAGATCTTGCCGTCGGCATCGGCGAGGAGCTTCTTGTACTGGTCAAACGCGACAAATCCTGCCAATTGCGTCGTTAGTCGTTGTCATCGCACACGGCCACGTAGTCGACGTACGGATTCCCGCCTTGAGGGAGTTGCCGATGATCAGCGTGGTGCAGCCAGCATACCACTGCTTGCCAAAGGGCGGCCAGGGCAGCTTCTTGCCGTCGGCCAGTTGGCGGTTCAGTTGCGACCGGGTCTTGGCGACTATCGCGAGGCGTCAGAGGCAATTCGGGAGGGGTGTTCGGCTATAGGAATTCTTACACTCGGCAGGGTACGTGATGGCTGTGGTTGCGATTAGCTCAAGTCATTGAGTTGTGGACGAGTCCGGTCGTCCTAACTCACCAATCTCCAGGGCGCCGGCCGTAGATCCAGCGATGATGGATCGCAGGACCGTAGGGCCCCCCTTCTTAACGGGCTGCGACTCATCCTTGGTCGCCGCGGGGGCGGTCGTCGCGGTCGACATCGTGGAGTGCGGTGGGCGGGATGTACCGAGAAGTACGGTTAATCGATGGTGGTTCTCAGGTTTTGTCTCCTTTTTTTTTTTCCCCTTCCCCTCCAAAGAGCTCGACTTGCGTGCAGGCGCAAGCGTCGTGCCAGCGCTTGTGCACCTGCGTCCGAAATCGCGGGGTGTGGAGACCACTGACAAACTCGTCTCGGGTACGTACTGCCTGACGTAACTCTTCACCGACACACCGAACCATTGCTTTCAACTAACACCAGGTTAGTCGATGATGATGAATCGTTTGGGTCCGTTTCTTTACCAAGGAATGATGATAAACTCTCATTGATGATTCCTTGGTGCTTTCTAAGTGAACTTGGGTATTGTTAAAGACTACGCAAAGAGTTTGCGAATTATCCCATGGCATTTCTCGGCAAATGAAGACATCCGCGCTTATCGTCAGATTTCATGTGTTCTTATCCTCTGACTCGAGCATGACATACCTTTCCAAGCTCTCACATTATTTCTTACGCTTGCATACACTTGCAAACAACATGCTTACCATGGTTCACAAGAGACGCAGTCATGACCTCGTTCCAGGCCAAAGCCCATGACGCCCATGCCTAACACGCCAGCAACAACGTAGGCGTTGTTCAAATCGAATCATCCAACCATATTACGTTCCATGGGAAGCCTTGGCCTCGACAGAATATGAGTTGCCCAATTACGCAGCATTGATTCACAATGTTCACTTGGGAACGCAGACGTAGCGTGGGGGCGAAAAGCTTAATTACAGCTAAAGAAGACATGGCCCCGTCTCCCTAGTCTGTCAAAGACTATCGTATATATACAATGAAACCAATTTTCGCCTTTGTCAGACAGCGTTATTACTGCATGGCAGGGACCTTGATGGAGGCAATGGTCCAGACCTTGCCGCCCTCGCTGCTGGTAAGACCGGTGTAGACAGCACCCTGGCTGGAGCCGATGGTCTCGCCGAAGGAGGTATCGGCGTTGGAGAGGGTGATGACGGTGTTGGCGTAGGTCTGCTCAGCAATGGTACCGGTGCAGCCGTCGTTGCACTCGGTGCCGGTTCCGTAGCCCCTCATGAAGGGTCCGGACTTGTGGTCGAGCGAGCTGATGACCTTGCCGGAGGACACGTCCGTGACGGTCTGGCGCCAGGTGTTCTGGTCGGACTGGAGGGTGTAGTCGATCTTGATGGCCTGGTCGCCCTTGACGGGGGCGGACGTCTCGCTGTCGATCTGGCCGAACGAACCGAAGACGGAGGCGCGGACGCACCACTGGCCGCTGGTGGCACCACACCAGCTGTTGTCGGGCCAGGACTCGAGGGTCGTCTGGATGAGGTCGCCGGTGCCGTTGGACATGCCGGGCCAGAGGAAGAGGACGCCGGCCTGCGTGGGAGGAGCGGCGCCGGGGGTCAGGGTGGTGACGGCCTTGACGATGGTGGACTTGGAGGGACCGAGGGAGACGGCGCCGCCCCAAGAATCGCGCTTGGCGAATCCAGTCTTGGTCGGGCCCTCGATGGGGAAGATGCCGGGGAAAGCCATGGCCGAGGCCGGGAGGACGGCCATGAGAAGGGTAGACAGCTGCATGATGGCGACGGTTGGTTTGTGTATGAAAAGAACGGTTGGAACGAATGTAAACGTTTGATGGAGAACGGTATGGACAGAGAAGTGAACGTGAAGAGCTACTAGACAAGACACAGACACGAAGTCGAGGCGACGACTGAAGTTCTTTATACTACACTACATCTCGTTCTTGGCCTTCTGGAACCAACAAGGTCCCAGGCCGCTCCCTAGAAGCACGCGAAATGAGAGGAGCTCAATACAACGTAACACTGTTCAAAAGCGGCGGAGAGGTTCTGGCCCATCACCCGTGGCAAGAACGGAGATATCCTCCATTTGGGTGTTTACTAGGCTGTAAGGGAGTGGCCCGATGGAGCGCTTGCCAACTTCGTCCAGGGTCCAAGGACAAAATTCCACGATAGGGGGACGACAGAAGCGCGTGTCGACTAGAATATGGGGAAGATTTGCCGGTGGGATGTGGTAGTTCCGCCGGAAGAATCCTTCTCGTTGGTCACTACTCGTAAAAGAGGGGCGCAACTGGCGTTGTGGTCTCGTTTGTTGGAAACACTAGTCGAATCAAGGCCTGTCCACCCTCGGCCGAGTCTAGAAAACGGAGCATTATGTGAGGCTGATATAGCTCCCGGATCGTTGGGACAGACCTCTACTCAAGTGAACAGTGAAACAAACTCGTGATAGGCGGAACAACGAGAATCAACTCAAAAGGGGGAGAAAAGGTGACTGCTGGGCTCTAAACACAAGACCCGGGCTGCAAAGTCTCAGGGCGTAAGTCGGACTTTGCGTCCGTCATCTTCATGACTCTTGCTCCATGTCCGGACCCCGTGGCAGCAGCGCTTTGGAGTCACCAGAGGCCCATCAATGATTTCCGGAAAAGACCACACCCATCTGCCAAGTCGGCAGGTGGTCCGGACCACGATGTGACGATGCCTCTTAGCCGTGGGTGATATTCTCCCACCAGTGGTAGCGAAGTTGCCGGGATAGCAAGGACCAGCACTCGGGATCCCACCCGATTGACGCCTCTCGCTAAGAAGTGCGCGATATGGTCCAAATAGCCTTTAACCGTAAAAGGAACGATAAACACTCTATTGTTTGCAATGAGATAACGTGTTGAGGATTAAAAGTTCGCTTTCGGTTCACCGTTGTTGCCCCTGAATAAAAACCAGACGAGCGAGGGACACACTGAACAATGACAAGACGGAGTAGTCCGGCCCTGTAAACGGGGCCATATGCCGACGACCGGCCAGATGACGTAAGGAAACACTCTGTGTCAAACAAAGGGGCAGCGAGACGATGAAATTGGAAGTCCGGCCGACATCCGCGTTGGGGGAAAGGAAGCGACTCAGGGCGCTTCGAGCAGGTATTTCCGCCGGATGATGGTGTGGAATTCCGAGCGGCCATGCTTTCGGGCGGAAACATGGCTTGAGTGCAAACCGGACTTGGCGCCGCGCCGTGATGTCGGGAATTTTTGAATGCGGAGGACCCGAGGCGGCCGTTGGGGTGCAGAAGTCTCCGTGTGCGCGACCGATCGCCCGGTGCAAAATGTCCGACTGGTCGTCGGCGAGGGTCACCTGGGTCCGGCAGTATGGGCACACGGCCGTCAAGCCTCCCGGATTACGAACCCCATAAAGCCAGCTGACGTCGATTAACCTTTGTACAGAGTACCATGTACATGTGCTGAAGGTGTTCATCGCGTGAAATGGCAGGATTCGGGAGTCGTAAGGGATGAAGATCCTGGATGATTGACATGATTGAAAATAGAACAGAGGGAAAGACAAAACTAGCTCACAGACGGCTCCATTGATGTGCATCCGGGTTGGGGACGTGACATCACCGTCGCTAATCTCGACATCGTCGACACATCATCGTCAACGTCGTCGACGGCCGTGATGCGCCCAGGTGATGCAAGAGTGTGAAGGACGGCTGGCGTGGGCGACGAGCTAGGGAGGGCGGCAGTCGCAGGCCGAGAATGGGTGAATGGGTGTTGGCCACACTCATGGCACCGCCGGGGAACCCAAGCTTTCAACCCAGAGGCTTGGGTTCAAAGTTTCCACCTGCCAGCTGGCCTTCGACAAGGACATGGCACGCTGAACGGGCTGCTGTCTTACTCCGAGGCAAGCGGGTGTCTTCCAGGGGATTACCATAGTAGTGTACATTCGTACGAGCCAAGCCAGCTTCTCCTGTGCGAGGCGCAAGTGTGGCTAAGCTGCCGCTTGTCTTTTGGTGATGAAGACTGTGCCACCAAGACTTAGGTACTATCGTAAGTACTGCATACTTCGGGGTCCCTGGGATACCCGTCTCAGGGCCTTGCGGCACGCGCGGGTGTGCCCCTGTGCCGCGTTCGACTTGCCGCCACAGCGGGCACTGGACCCTTGAAGTTGACGTGGAAGGGGGCCAAGAGCCAGTCGATGTCGAGGTGGGATGTCTCTATTCGTTTCTGTTGCACTGTTGCAGAGGTCTCTCTCTCCGTGGCTGGCGTCAATGTGTGAGTTGGTGTCGAGAGCGAGGAGACGATCGAGAGAGACGAGGGGCTCCCGGCTAGGTGTTTTGTCGACTGACTCTATGCAAGATGAGACTGCAAGTCTATCCCCAACTCTAAGAGGCTGGTGGATGTTCTCGGGGCGACTCTGATCTTCATGCGAATATGCTTATTCGTCCAAGTCGGCCCCCAGTGAATGCTTCATCCCTGTTCCCCTTCCACAGCTCGAGCCTCGAGCCCCTCAGCGCTCGGCGTCTCCTGGCCTTACCCGCTGCGGCCAAAATCCAATCCAATATTCATCCATCCCCTTTGGCAGTTGACATGTGCGTGCTGTCGACCCATATCAGCATGTCTGGACTCAGCTGCCATGGCCATGCAGTAGCGACAGCGTGTGTCCGTACGCACCAATCCCTTTGGACGTCGTTGTAGCCGGTCTTTCAGGGTCTGTTTCAATGTCCAGGGGTCTCGAGCATTAGTGCATAGAATACCAGGGGACTCGAAGGGCAATCCGAGACCAGTCATCGTCATCCAGCGTCTGGAGCGAGACAACGAGACAGTCGCGAGGGCCAGTCGGCGAGGTCGCAGCCTCGTCAGCCCAGTCAGGCAGAGGGGCAGATGAAGCTGATGGAGTCCGAGAGAAGCTCACGCAAACACGACATGGTACGATGCAGGCAGGGCTGCTTGCCGCATGTGCGTCGCTGTCGCCGTCGCTGTCGCTGCATCATCCAGTCGCCCCGAGCTCATCCCGTCCCATCCATCCATCCATCCATCCATCCATCCCTCAGTCACCTCCCGTGCCCCCATCCCTTCCCTTCCGTGGTTCCGTTCCGTCCCATTTCGCTCAGTCACCAAGATGCAGCAGAGAAAAGGATGCGAAAAATAGCATAGGCCGCCCCCTCCTTCACACGAAAATCCTCCCGGCTCTAGATCTGCCCCTCCTGCAGGCGGCAACCTTTTCTCAACCTCAGCAAGCAGAAAGGTCTGGTGCACAGTCAGACACGAGAAGACGACGGCGACGAAGACGAGGACAAGTTAGACTCTAATCCGTGCCTCTGTTTGATTTGAGTTGAGTTGAGTTGAGTTAGATTGCAACAGGCTGGGAGGGTTAGTTTTCTTCTCAGTGTCCAATTTGACGCCAAGACCAGGCGCCGCCCACACTCATCTCCCGCCTTTAAATTATCATCACCGCCGTCGCCGTCCCCGAAGCCCGTCTGCTTGCTGCTGCATAAACATTTCCCGTCCCAAAATAAAGCGGCAGACAAGAGAAGCCGGCAGAAGAAGTAGACACCTCTCTTGTCAACCCTACAAAGCGCCGTTGAAGGATTCTCGTTGTTTCGCTGCTTCGCATGGCAATCGCCGCTCACTGCTTCCGCGGAACAGCACAGCCCCAGCCGGCTGACGACTCGTTTTTGCCATTGGAACAAACACCCTGCCGTGTCCTGTTCAGCCACCGACTGCGATCAGTTACCTTCGTGCCTAGCTGGTCATCTTCATCATTTTCAGCAGCAGCAGCGGTTGCCGAGTGAATCCAAGCAGGCCAGCTAAGGATTCTCGCTCCAGAAACAGAGGCCGACACCCCGGCTTTCAGTCGCAAAAGCACACTTGGGAGACTAGGGAAGGACGGCAAAGAACGAAACAAACAAACACAAGAAAACAACTACCAGGCACCAAGTTCCAATTTCCTGTTTTTTTTTTTTTTTTTTTTTTTTTTTTTTTTTCTTCTTCTCTTCTGAGCCTCGACTCTGACCTCATCCAATCCCTCCCGTCCGTGGTTCCCGCGCCCTGCGTCGCCTCGGACGCCTCATCACCAGCAAAACGAACCAACCAGCCAACCCGCTCGTCCCAAGACTGTGGTGTCATTTTTTCCAGGCACGGAATACGCAGCACACACACTCTTCTCAGGCACACACCCACCCACATATACACATACATACACACACGCGAATACCAACGAATCGAATACGGACAGTCTCGCGAGTACGTTGTGCATTCGTCGATTTTCTCATCCAGTCCGTCGTCGTCGTCGTCTGTCGTTTCAACTTTTCCCAAACGCACACGCCCCCAACCACCCGAGCCGTCTGCAGCGTCGATCACCTCTTACTCAGATCGCCCAACCACGCCGGCATTTCTTTTTCTCCCTCTAATTCTCCTCAGGTACCGGTATCCGGACCTCCATCATCATCGCAAACTCTAGACGGCTCCGGCCCACACCAGCTCGCGACCTGTGACGGTGACAGCGCGAGCTCCCTGGTCACCCCGGCCACCCGTCTCCGCCCTCAGCAGTCCACGTCCACGTCCACCCCCGCCGCCGCTGGGCCCGTTTCGCGGCACTTGGGAGCTGAGGTGCCGCCTAATTGTTCCCTGTGCCCTGTGCCTTGTGGTTAGGACCTTGGGCAGAGATAATTTGGAGTGGGCTGTGAACGCTCCCGCCTCTCATCACCTCCTCGTCTTGGCTCAGCCACCCTTTTCAACCACTCACTCACTCACACACCAACACCACCAGACAATACAATACAATACAATACAATCCAACACGCACGCCCTGCTTGCATACGTACGCGCGCACTTACACACACCACCACCACCACCACCACATCTCAGCTCATCCTCTCGACCTGCACTCCGTCACACTGTTCACCCAAGAACAAAACCCGCCCACATCCCTCCCGTCTGGCTCTGCGGAGAATTCATCCCTCTTCAGAATGGCCACCCAGATCGAGGCGAGGTCTCTGGCCTCGCTCAACTACCTGGCCGCCAACCCGCCCCAATACCCTCACAACCCAGCCGGCGAGCGCCAGGAACCGTTAACTCTCTACATTTCACGCGTGCCGGGAACCAGAGGTATGTTTTAATCTAGCATGTTCACTCTTCTTTGCATTTGCATCTCAAAACAAAAGTCTCATGAGCGCAACTAACCCCCCGCCCAGACGTGATTCTCACCACGTCAAAACCACACCTCAAAAACGTCACCAGCGAAGACGTCGCAAACTCCTTCTACTACATCCACCTCGAGCTCCCCGGAGAGGGAAACCGACCGTACGAGGTCGGCCACCAGCAGCCTCAACAACACCTCCGCAACCCAGACACGCCCAGGTCCAGCATCGACAGCACCCGCAGCGCCAACCAGATCCGCCGCAAACCCCTGCCCTCCACCGCAAAAGTCCCCTCGCCACCTGCCGAGCCCGCCCGATCCTACCCCCTCCCCGGATCCCACCCCGCCGCCGGCGGCTACGGCACCGCCTACGACCAGTTCCGCCCCGATGACCTCCCCGACGCCCGCCCGGATCTGCCTCCGCGGCCCCTGTCCTACTCACCCCCGGCTCCGGTCCGCAAACCCGTCGGCCCCCGAGCCATCCCGACCCCGGCCCCGGATCACCACGACGTCCTCTACCCCTCAGACACCTTCCGCCCGTCGCCGTCGGGGTCACCCTCGCGCATGCCCCAGGAGCCATCCTACCGCTCGAACTCGCGCGAGTCGACATCCACGCCTCACCAGCACCACGTCCGCCAGCTCTCCCGCTCCCCGTCGCCGAACCGCTTCCACAACACCACCGCCGTGCCCTTCACCCTCTCCCTCATCCGCCGCGACCCGAGCACCGGCAACCAGTGGAACATTGGCCGCGTCTCCTCCCACCAGCTCGAGGACTCGGGCGAGGACTACGAGTACTTCTCCTTCGACTCCGCCGGCCTCTCCGCCCACGACCGCCGCCGCGCCAACGCCCCCCAGCCCCCCATCAGCATCCGCATCGAGTCGTCCGGCTACGCAAAGTTCCGCCACATGCCCCTCCGCCAGAGCCTCGACATGCCCCGCGCCTCCACCTCCTCCGTCGCGCCTCCGCCCTTTGCCAACTCGGAGGACGCCCTCAACTGGCATGCCCAGCAGCAGATGCTGCAGCAGCAGATGCAGATGCAACAGCCCCCCTCCGAAGGCGGCTTCAACAGGCAGGTCGTGATGGCCTACGCGAAATCCTGGACGACCAACATCCGCGAAAAGTTCAACTCGCGCTCGCGGTCGAGCAGCGTCGTCGACGAGCCGTATGGCAGCCCCCCGCCCCCGCGCTCGAACCGCCACTCGCGCCAGCTGAGCGCGCACTCCACGGGCTCCATGTCCTCCAACGGCAGCGACTCGGGCCCCATCATCACCCAGCCGGGCCACGGCCTGCGGCCCCGGGGCTACGTGTTCGTGTCGCCGTGGGACGGCCGCTGCGAGTTCCGCACGGGCAACGCCGGCCGCAGCGTCAAGTGCCGCCACGTCCTCCCCAGCGCCGGCGGCGGCCAAAGCAACCCGCTCGCGCCCTCGGGCACCTCCAACTCGGCGCCCGTCAGCGAGCTGCGCTTCAACCTGCCGACGACGGAGCTGTTCAAGCAGGAGGGCAAGCGGGAGCAGCTCAGCGGCCACTTCAGCAAGCTGCTCAACATTGGCAAGCCCGGCGAGTACAGCGACGACGAGGACGTGCCTAGTCCGTTCGACCTCCGGCTCGGGCGGGAGAAGGCGGGCGGTGGCAACCGCGGAAAGAGGGCCAAGCTGGGCAAGCTGATTGTTTATCCGGAAGGGTTAAAGATGCTGGATCTCGTCATTGCCGCCAATATGGGTATCTGGTGGGGAGCGTGGGAAAAGAGTTTCTAGGGCGTTTTTATGGCTTTGACAGGTTCTGATGGACCATGATGACGAAGAAAAATGTGGTGATTTTGACGAGACTCTGGATTCATGGTAGCGCTGCGTCAAAAATGTATGGGGTGGTTAGGCTTGATTTAAGCAAGGCGTTGGCTGGATATGCCCTCTACATGGCTAACACCCGCGAGTGTGATCATCAGCCGTGGCTATGTGTAAGACACATTAATTATAATCTTCCCACGTTGAATCTTCCACATGCAAGCGTAACTGTGATTCCGCCCGCAATGATCCGGCGCAAAAGGTGTTGCCACTTACTGCCACATATGCTCATATTTGTCCTCTCATCACACCAGACAGCGAGACGGGACACAGCGTTGCAACGGACAAAGAAAAGGTTGCTTTTCGCGAGATATTTACACAAGTCTAAAAGATCCCGACCTGTCTGTAGTACACATACACAGCACGCCAGAGCCTCGCCACCGCTGTTGCTGCCGCCGCAGACGCCGCCCCTTCTGTTGCTCTGCGCCGCTCTCTTTCTGCTCATGTCCCTCTCAAGCATTAACCCGCAAAGAAAAATGATGCTCGTTTCCTCCCCAAGACTCCCATGCCAATTGATTCATTTTATCTGTAGGGGGCGTCGGCACGGATGACGGCGGCCAGCTCAGGCTCCCACTTGTCGCCGTTCGACAGCAGCTTCTCCTTGTTGTACAGCAGCTCCTCGCGGGTCTCGGTGGCGTACTCGGCGTTGGGGGACTCGACGATGGCGTCGACGGGGCACGACTCCTGGCAGAAGCCGCAGTAGATGCACTTGGTCATGTCGATGTCGTAACGGGTGGTGCGGCGGGAGCCGTCGGCACGCTCCTCGGCCTCGATGGTGATGGCCTGGGCGGGGCAGATGGCTTCGCAGAGCTTGCAGGCGATGCAGCGCTCCTCGCCGGACGGGTAGCGGCGGAGGGCGTGCTCGCCACGGAAGCGGGGGGAGATGGGGCCCTGGGGGTTGATGTTAGTTTCGATGCTTCGCGATATTTTGATTCCGCCTCTTCGTTGCTCAAACGCTCTCCCCTTTGTCCTTCACAACTTCCTGACTGTCGAGTGTTGCAACGAGGTCAATTCCGGCCCCGGCTACTGTTCCGTGGCTCCCTTCCGCATTTCCATCTCGTCCCGTCATTTCCCGCGCCCGAATACTTCCAACGCCCTTCCAAACCAAAAGAAACAAGAAGTCGACCCACCTTCTCAAAGGGATAGTAAATGGTGTAGGGCGGGCGGAAGAACTGCTCCATGAGCACGTACATTCCCCTTGCCATCTCGGACAGCAGGAAAAATCTGCCCATCTTGTTGAGGGTGGACTCCTTGTCCTCGTCCCACGTCTCGAATCTCTTCTGGCGGAAGTTCGTCGGCGGGGGGCCAGCGGGGGTGGCATAGTTGCGGACGGCGTTGGCGGCCATGAGGCGGTTGACCAGGACGGCCGACGAGTTTCTCGTGGCCGGCCTCGACGCTGCGAGGAACATTGTGACGGGAAGCTGCGCCGCGGGAGGCATTGTCGGAGACTGTGTGATTCTCGATTCGACGTGGAGGATGTGCGACGGCTCCAATTGACCGGGCAGGCGGCAGGTCGGAGGGGGGTTGATCGAGGATCGCGGGGTGTCGGGAGGCGACGTGCAATTGAGGGAGTTGCGGTTGTTCGGGTGTTGAGCTTGACGTTTACTGGGACATTTGCCCGGCACTGGCCTGGGGGGGACGAGCTTTGGTGCGGGATTACAAAGGGCGGGAATTGATTGGCTGGAGGCGGGTCACGTGGCTTCCGACCATCTGCCATGTCGGAAGGAAGGAAGCATCATGATGATGAAGCCAGTGGCGACCGACGCCTGCTGCTGAATTGGTCTCGAAAATTTGCATCGGAATATTGATGGCATCAAATCATCACTATCGAGTTTCGCACTCTTCAAAGCCTTGCGAGAAACGACCATCGCGTAGATTCACGATTTCAGTCTCATCACATGATCAGTCACGTGGCCTTGATTGGAGCTAGCCAGGGAACGCCTCGGGGTGACGAGAAATTTATCATCATGGCAATGACCTCCTCCACCACCCCCAGAGCTCTCATCAGACAAGCCTAGCTGCCACCCCCGAACGAACCATCTCGCATCCCCCCAACCCGACGTCAGAGCTCCCGCAAAGCTTCGCCTTCCTCGACCCGTCCGTCTCCCTCGACCACAAACCACAGCCATGTTCCGCACAGCAGTCCTCCGTTCCGCGGCCGCCGCCTCGCGCGCCATCCGTCCCGCCGTCCAGCAGTCCGCTCCCCTCGCCCGCAGCTCTCTCGTCGCGCCCCGTGCCGCCTTCGCCCGCGCCGCCCCCAAGGCCGTCTCCGTCCGCTTCTACTCTGCCGCCACCGGCCTGAACAAGGACGAGGTTGAGGGCCGCATCTTTGCTCTGCTCCAGGGCTTCGACAAGGTCAACGACCCTGCCAACGTACGTTGCCCCTCCCGCCATCACCACCTTCATCACCACCACCACCCGTCAAGACCGACCCAATTGGGTCGCACGGGAGCTTCAAGACACAGAGCTGATACGCATTCTTGCCTTTGCACAGATCAAGTCCACTGCCCACTTCGCCAACGACCTCGGTCTCGACAGCTTGGACACCGTCGAGGTCGTCATGGCCATTGAGGAGGAGTTCAGCATCGAGATCCCCGACAAGGACGCCGACACCATCCACTCAAGTTCGTAGCACCACATCCCTTGTTGCTGCCGCAGCTGGCATCCATTAGGAGGAATATACTAACCCCGCCGAAACAGTCGACAAGGCCGTCGAGTACATCCTCAGCCAACCCGATGCTCACTAAATGCAAACCAAAAAAATGATCACTCTTCTCCGCTAAACCCGTCTCCCCGGCGGTCTGTACAATTTTAGCCCTGCCCCCGACATCGACATCGCCACTCGCAACGTAGAACCGGGAGGGGGGTAACTTACATGAGAGAGATGCGGCGTCTGTGGCTCTTTCAGCTTATGAAGGGACGAAGGGAAAAGAGAGCCGGAGGGCTTTATTTTGGCCGCGATGGGGTGGACGGTTCGGTATGGTAGCCCATAACGCGGCGCTTCCCCCGCGCCTCGAATGGCAATGCGACGCTGCTCTGCATGTTTGACCATGTCTGGAGCCCGCCCGCGTGGCCTTGTACTAGTGTATAGATTTTGTTCGTCAACATTGGGAGCCCTAGTGATTTGTCTGTCCTGCACACAAGGCGCAGCTGTCCTTCATGTTCGGTGTTATCTCTCCAAGTCTGATCGGGAATGTTCGGGATTGGTCACTTGGGCAAGCCGAGGGATATCTACGTTTCGTGACGAACATTTCCTGGAGTCCCAAGAATGGGCATGGATCACTACTAATTCGCTAGGTGAAACCAATCTGATAAGATACAACGACAACAGCTTTTGTATATAGTGGACGATAATTAGACGGTGGTATCAGCTTTTCCTGTTCCAAACGTCTCTAATGCGGTGCCGAGTCACGCAGCCTGCCGACCCGTGACAAGTAGACGCTGGCCATGTTCTATTCCACTTTCAGAAAATCCAAGAAAAAAAAAGAGACTCGCAAATGCATGTGCCAACCTAGCCTAACCCTCCGTCATCTTATTTTAACCTCCCCATTCCCCACGTCAAAGCGAGAATTTACAGCCTCCCTACACATTCATTCCCTGAAGACATATCCTAGAACCCCAGTCTCGACCTGGGCTTGGAGGTTATGCTTCCAACCAGACAGAGCCAATATATCCTCCATTTTAGATTTTAGTAACGAGCGAAAGCAGAACGGCCCGACGCAGAGCTACTGCCGCCGGGCACGTCCAACCTATTACAACCTCCAAGATCCAATCCGTGTAAGCCTAGAAGAAGGAAAAGGAGGGGGATAAAGAGACGATAAAACTCCAGCAAACTCCCTGCCCTGTTGTTGTGTAAACAGCCACCCCGTAGATTTCGATCCCTTGCTATGTCCCTTGATTTTTGAAGACCGGTTATTTTCGTTTTCCGATGGCGATTTTTTATGCCAATGCATGCTATGAAAGTCGTGGCTGAAATTTGAGTCGTAGAGTGTCGTCAGGGTGTGGAAGAGTCGAGAGCAGACCCGGGGAGCCACCGAGTAGGATGGTGTTCCATCCGTCGCTATGCCTTTCTCCCGGGTGTTGTTGTCACCGTCCTTTTTGGAGAAAGTATCACATCAACGTCCACCGACCGTCTCGACGCTGACCGAGGGTTCCCGCTGCTCCTTGGCGAGGCCAGAGGTAGGGGTAGCGTTCTTGCCGGAGAGAGCGTTAGCGTAGCTCCATCCACCTCCGATGCCGAACCCCGCAGAGCCCCGCTTGCGAAGCCTGGAGGAGGATTGATCCTCCTCTTCCTCCATGTTGAACACAAATGCGGGGTCCTCCTCGTCGATCGGGGTCGTGTACCGCCCGGTGACGGAAGAGCTGATGGACCCGCTCGAGACATGGCGCTCCATGACCCGCTCCCGCTCCTTTCCGATGGGGCCGGCACCGTTGCTGGGGCCCCGGCCGGTGGCCGCCAAGGGGTGCAGGTGCGGGCTGGCGCTGCCGTCGTCGCCCAGACGGGTTCGCTGCAGCTGCTGGGTCAGCGCAGACATGGACTCGCTACCGGCACGAGATCCAATGGGGCGAGAGGACAGGCTGCCGTTGCCCATCTCGTTGGAAAGAATGGAGTTGCGCAGGGGGCTGCCGACGTGCCCAAAGGCCGAGGGGCCATGCTTGTGGAGCTCCTCCTCCTTCTGGCGCTGGAACAGAGGCCCCCAGCGGCTCGGGCTGGCTCCGGTGATGGGGCTACCGAACTTGGTCGCATTCTCGCTTCCGGGCTCGCCATCGATAGTCCGGAGGGAGCCCCGGCGGGCCTTCTCGGCAGGGGTCAACAGATCCTGCAGGTTCTGGGGCACATAGTCCTCCTCGAGGAAGGCGAACTCGGCCTCCCAATCGTGGTCGACGGTCGTTTTCGGCATGCTCGCGCTGAGCATCTTGGGCTTCGCGTAGCGGCTCGAGTGCATGGCCCGCTTTCCGTAGTACTCCTCGCCGGACATGGGCTGGCTGGGGGGACTGCTGGATGCAGTGACGTTGGCGGCGGCCAGGTATTCGCTTCCACCGAATGCAGAGGTGTGCAGCATCTTAAGCGTCTCGGAGGTTCGGGAATCCTTGGCATTGTTCAGCGAGGGGGAGGGGGACTCGAGGCCGAACTTTGACGGGACGGACGAGGGCCAAGGACCGCCGGGGAAGAGGGCGGCGTTGGAGATGCCCTGGGAATCGAAGGAGGCGGGCAGGGGCGCATCGAGGACGGACAAGCCCTTGGCGTTGATGGGCGAGAGGCCGAGGCCGAATCGGGATGCTTCGTCGTCGCGCGGGGAGCCGTAGTTCGAACCGGGGTGGGAGTAGGTGGTGTCGATGGTGGGCAGGCCATTCTCGACGCTGGGCTGGCGGCCCAGCTGGTGCTGCCGTTCGTCACCGTAGGGAAAGGCGGAGCCGTACGAGGGGGCGCCCTCGCGGTAGAGACCCGAGGTGAGGGCGCTCGTCGGGTGGTATCCGGCAGCGGAGGTGGGGTTGATTCGGCCGCCGAGGTTTATGGGAGAAGTGCCGATGGTGACGCCATTCTTGCCGTAGTTGATGCGGCGGCCGTCGGGAAGAACGTGGATATTGGCGCATTTCGGACCGAACTTGCAATTGCCCTGCGACGACGGTTAGAATGGCGACGGTGGAAGACGGAAGACATGGGTGATTGAATGTGACATGTCGCCGAGATGGCGGGCACGGGCGTAGAGGCAGGAGAATGGTCTGTGTGACCGAGGGGCAGAGCGAGATTGCGGAGGTAGGAGGGGCTGGGGGGGTGAGGGGGCGCATGGGCGACATTTCGCGATGTTTTCCGCTCGTCGGGAGGAGGCAACGCAGCGCAACGCACCTTTGCAAAGTATTTGCAGATGTTCTCGGCGGCAGCCCCTAGATCGTGAGAAAACGGACAGGCATTGCCGGCCTGGCAGGCGCCTTGACGAAAGAATTTGCATGGGACGTGGGAGGTGTCTGTAGGGCAGAGGCGAGACAGGTCAGCCATGGACAGAGAAGAGAGACAGATAGACAGAGATAAAGACTGAGAGAGAGATTGACGCAGGCGGGGGAGGGGAGGAATGTTGCTCAAGGACGGGTGCGGTGCGACGTGTTGCAGAGGAAGCGAGACGGGGGCGGCGGCATTGAATGACGAGACAGCTGGCTGGCATCGCGGAGGGTCGATTTAGAGGGCGAGGGTATCGTGAGCCGTCGTCGACGTTTGCAGACAATGAATGCACCGTGCCATATACCGACACCAACGCCGACATCGTCACCAACAACCTAGACAGAGACGAAAAGAGAGTGAGGACGAAAGAGAGCGGTGACATACTGGGTGGGCTGCGCGGGCCGTCAAACCTGTGAGCGGCGGCGACAGCGGCAGAGCCGGCAGCGGGGGACGCGACTGACGGCATCGGGCTCATCATGGGGCTGGAGTGGCCATTCTGGGATTGTGTTTGCTGCTGCTGCTGCTGCTGCTGTGGCTGTTGCTGCTGGTGTTGGAGGTTGAGGCTGCCATTGCGCGCATGGCGATAGTCGGAGCCGTTGGTCGAGGGCATCTTGGGGGGAGGAGATGGACGACGACGACAACGACGACGACGACGATGATGTGGAGGAGGGAAGAGAGCGGCGGCGGTGGTGGTTATGGTGGAGGAAAGGTTGGACGAGGCACCGGTTGAAAAGTCGCGGGCTGCCCAGGCGGGACGAGAGGGGAAAAGTGGAGTGGACGCCCTGTAGCAGCAGCAGGTGGTGGCGCCCGGGGGAGGGGAGGGGGTCGGTCCAGCGCTGGTGATAGCGGGCGGACAGCGCTGTGGCCGGGCAGATTGGTAGTGGAACGACGCTGGACACGCACTCAACTGACTGGCGCTGAGCTGTTGTCCTGCTTGAAGGGACGAAGGCGAACCGACAAGATGGTCTTTGGTACCTGGCTCTCCAAGGCAAGAGGAAGGGCGGCGAGAGAGAGAGACAGTCTAGACCAGTCCGCGCCGTCGGTACCTGGGCACGCAAATGTGCGTAGGGACAGGGTGTGAGTGTGTGTGTGTGTGTGTGTGTGAGGATGCTGGTGGAGGGGAGGGGGAGGAGCGAGGATGACAGCAGGCAAGCAGGATGGATGATGAGCAGCGACCAGGGTAAGGGAGAAGCAGCCCGAGAGAGGACGACGCTGCACTAGACCGAATCGTCCAAGTAAGTAAGTACCTGGGGGAGAGGTCGCCGGTACGATCGGTGAGGGCGGCAAAGGCGGCGTTGGTTCAAGGATGTATGTGGTAGATGGGAGGAGGTGGCCCCTCGGTCAGACGCGGGTTTGGCTGCTTTGGCTCGGAAGAAGACGACGGCGATGATGAGGAGCACAACGGCTGGTTGTTGATGCTGATGCTGATGTCGATGAGGACGATGATTGTAATGTCAATGTTGCTGTTGTTGTTGTTGCTGTCGCTACTGGTGCAATAAGCCCCAAAGTCTATCACAAGACGAGGGACGAAGGAGCCAGCACCAAGACCAATGGAAACCAAAACCGGGGTCGATGCTGCAGCTGAAGCCGTGCTGCGACCGAAGTGTTGAATGTCTCGAGTCAGCCACTCAGTGCGGTTCCCTCTGCTGCGATGAGACGAGAACCTGTATGGATGGCAACCCGACGACGCAAAGACAGAGTTAGAGAGAGCCGGCTCGACGCCCTTGCAGAGAATACCCGCAAGAAGAGGGAATCAACCAGTGTCGGCAACCACCACAACAAGTGTAATGTGATGCAGTGTAGTGTAAATGCGTAGTGTCTAAGGTAGTGTGTGGTGCCGGTGTATGAGGCGGCACACGAGGGCGGGGCGGGGCGCTTTCTGTATATGGAAGCGCAGCCAAAAGACGATCGATGCCTTTGGCTAACAAAGGTAGCGCCGTGCTGGACTCGATATCCGTTGCTTTGTACTTTGTCAAGGACAGCAGGTGGGCCAAGCAGGGTAAGAAGGTACCGAGTGAGCGATGTGCACCTGATGCGACGCGATGTCTCCCTCTTATGCCTGGTCTGCGGGCGGATAGACGGTGCGGACGGGCGGCCGGGCGGGATGCCCAACGCAGGTAGATACCCAGACAGATAGATAGATATACACACGATAAGGATTCGAGGAACCTCAGGATGTTGGCCGATGGCTGTGAAGACGGGGGCCTTTTGGAGACCTAGCTATCTTGGCGGGTGGCGCGACTGAGAAAGTGTAAGAAGAAGAATGTCCACAGAGATCGGATGGACTGAATGTGAAGAAGAAGAACAACAACAGTGATAGCAACACGAGACTGAGCCCGATGATGGCGGGAGCTGATACCAAGATACCGCGAGATGAGGCAATCGGCGAATCAGCTGCGTGCTCTATGCCGTGCCTGGGCCTGCGAGGTTGGAGATTAGATCAAATGGACAAGACAGGCGACCTACATCCCCCCCGTCTATCCATGTAGCCATGTATGTAGGTACACTTGGTTCAGAGAGAGAGAATCCCCGCCGGTTCAGTGGTCATGTACGTACCCAGACACGGAAATGCTCGTCGACTGCCGGTTACCTGACCTGGCCTTGCCTTTCTTTGCCTTGCCTTTCTTTACTCCAGGCGGCAAAACGGACTGCGTATCTGACGGACGGGCGCCGCTGTGGGGGTTCGACCGTCGCTGTCGCTGCTGGCTCGGCCGACGCTCTGCTCAGGGGTCATCTCCCACCGCTGGTGGCGTCTTGTCTTTCTCGAGGGGGGGGCCGACGAATGGCAGCAGACTGGGGACAGTGAGGAAATGGATGACTGGAGGTCGAGTATGTCTAGCTACCCCAAGTGTTTGTTGGTCTTGGGTCCAGGTGATGTGAGTTGATGGTATGGTATGTTGTGGAATGGGCGAGGCGAGACGAGGCGCAGACGGGAGCTGGCGGCCACTTCAACGGCGCTGGGCTAGGCACCTCCTATTAATTATTCGACTTTGGTCGTCGTAGACAAACTGAAGAGGCAGCAAGATGGAAAGAAGGGCTCATACAAGCTCAACCATGACTTTCGTCACACACGGGAGCGTCCTCATCATATAAGTGAGCCAGCCTCCATCGCAGATGCGTTCGCCTCAGCAACCCCCCCCCCCCCTGCCCGTCAAACACGGGGGGCCGCTCTCTCTCTCACTCGCTCACCTTGACTTACATGCATCAGTTCTGATCAAGGGACCATCGTCATGTCTCTTCTCACACTCGGCCTCGGCTGGAAACCCACACAATACTTCACGTCATTGCAAGTCATGGATCAAGAGCCGTGATACCCAGCCCGTGAGTACACGCCTCTCCGTAGACATCGCGAGTACCCTCTTTTTGCCCATGTCCATGCCCATGCCGCCCATCCACTCGCTCGCCATTGCCTTCCTTGCCTTGTCCGCCAAGCCATACCGCATGCCGTGTTAGTCGAGCCTCACTCCGCGGTGGCTAAGACATTTCCTTCTCGTACGAGCAAACATCAATGTCATGTCCATGACCCGTCGGCGGTATTCCTCGCGGTGCAGCCTACATACGTGCATCAGACCCTCGTCGATGTCTCTTATGCCTGCCCACTCACTCCCCGACCGGCCCCTCAACTCGACCCCTCACCACCACAACAGCATCACCACCACTACCACCACCACCACCACCATTACCACCATCCTCCAGACCAAGAGACCCAAGGTGGCGTGCCTCCATCACGCGGCGGCCCCATGATGCCCCGGCGCCCCAAAGTTGCTCCATGCCCTCGCCCTCTCTCTCCCTTTCTCTGGCCCCCCTCAACCATCGAATCCCGTCCTGCAGTACTGGCACAGCAGCGCCCTCCAGCATCCAAAGCCCGATCTGTGAGTTCCCGGGGAGGGTGATGGGGGCTTGGTTGTGATGGAGGACGCCACCAATGTTGTAGCGGACTGGGTGGAAATCAAGGCCATCGCCATTGGGGGGAAACGGTCAAGGGAGAATAATAATAAAAAACGGTCAGCCGCGCTGTTGGAGTGTGGTTGGAATGCGGTCGCGATCCTCGACCTATCCCGCACCCTCCGTCACTGCCGGAGTTCGGGAAGAGACGAGCCAAATAGAGGTGTCGTCGACAAGGGGTGGATGAGAGAGAGAAAGAGAGAGAGAGAGAGAGAGAGGGCGTGAGATGGACGAACTGGGGTGAGCGGTTGGATCGTCCTTCAACTCCCGGGCATTCACACCATCACCACGCTGGGGTTCAAAAGAGCCGTGGTGATTGACCATCAGAGTTGATGATTCCGGACCATCTATCGGACTTGGCTTGGATGATTCTGGCGAACATCTTGTCCCATCCGGGAAGGACCCTTGACCGAGGTTCCCTCTGCCAGACATTTGAGGCCAACCACCGCCTTCCACCGCATGTCATTCTCAATTCCCATTCCAAATGACCTTGACTGCATACTGCGACGGCATCCAACCTACATACACATAGCAAAGACCCCACGCAAATGCGGCCTGGATGGGGTTGACGCCGTTTGGCTGTCTGTGAGACGGTCCACCAAGGTCGAGTAAACTCTGTGACACGATGAATTGGCGCCCAGTATTTTGGGAACTCTCCGGGCGTCTCAAACCTCTGCTCCTGTACGACACCGGTCATTTCGTGTCTTTCTTTTTCTTCTGTCTCTACTTCGTGAACCAACACGCTCTGTCCCCGCCTCTTCACGGCTCGCCGTGCTGCGTGCGCATGTAGGCCTAATGTCGACTTTCGTACGATGATGATGTGCGTTTACGGACCAAGACACACGACTCTATGTAAAGCAATCTCAAATACCCCGTTCCAGAAGAGACCAAGACAGACTCAGATCTGGGTTCACCTTGGGCGTCTGGCTGGTGGAAATATCCGGGCCTAATGCGCAAGCCATCGTCAGCGACATCGCCAATCAAGGCGCCTACCGGCCATCTTGGAACTGCAGGTCTCTATCTCGTCCGCTTGCTTTTTCGCATCTCTGATCTCGCATCCGCCGCCGCGTCGACATACCCTACCTGCCTACCTGCCTATGCCCATCGCAAATGGCAGATCCGTCCCGGTGTCTCGCCCGTCTCTGCCCGTCCAGCGTCACGGGTTCGTATCCCAAGGCTAATACATACCTGCATGCTGCGCGTAGGTACAACCCCAGCCCAGGGCCCCATCGACAGACATCAACACTAAACAACCTCACATCGAAAGTCGCATCGAGACCGTCACTCGTCGATCGCCAGTCGCCAGTACGCCCGCGATGTCAGGTCAAAACGGGGGACGACCATGCGCACAAAGCACCCGCAGTGATCTCAACTCTGACTTGCCTAACCTGCCATCTCGGGCAAGGCGCAGACCGCGCGAGTACGCAGCAGTCGTCGCCGCCGCTCCAGCGTTGCAGCTGTGCGACGTCAAACGCAACGCGACGCGATGCTCCCACCCATCATCCACCATCCTCCCCTCCCCCACGGAGACACACCCGCAGCTTGCACTCACTCGTACACAGATTGGCCTACCTTAGCATACACACGCGCACATGGGGGACTGACTCTACGTACCTACCTACCCACTGAGAGAGAGGTATGTCACTGTATGTCACTGCCACTGATTGCAGCTCCAGCAGCCTGAAAGTGCCCGACAACGTCAGTAGGCGCCTCCCCAGAGACATGCATACATACATAATACATACGTACAGACAAGGACGGGACAGAAGAGAGACAAGACGGCAAGATAGAGTTAACGCTCGCCGCGGCAGCCTCAGCTGCAAAGCAAGAATGCTCGCTCGCAAACGGACGATGCCCTGCCCTGCCCTGCCCTGCCCCTGCGAGACCGGCGCGCTGGCGGGATGCATGTCTCGACTTCTCTGACTTCTTGGACGGATAACGTCCTGTCAGTTGCTTGATCTTTGCCTTTTTGACGTCTGTCGAGATCCCCACGCACCGGGGCTCGTCTTCAACAACATGGTGCATCCAGCCAACAGGCGCCTCGCCAGCCCTGGGCCTGGAGCCTGGAGGTCCTCGGGTGGGATTGCCCAGCCCGATTCTCGGCCGATGGCGTCTCCAGCACCCGGCGCATGTCTCGAGCAATTCTCCCGTTGGACGATCGTTCATTTTATCGATCAATCAATTAACCATCCAGCCAACCATCCAACCAACCGGGCTGAGAGCACTTTTGTCATCAATGTTTTCATTTCTATTGCCTGTTGGCTGCAATATTTGTCTATTCTTCGGACCGCTTCCCTGTCCATCATGTGCGATCATTCGTATGCACAGACATGTATCCGGCTGAGTCGAGCAAGTTGAGATAGCCAGACAAACAGCTAGGTATCCGTAGACAACATTCAGCAACTCCTTCAACAGGGGCTGTCGTCATCACAGCCCCGGCTGGCAGTGCCTCCTCCCACTCTCTGATCTTGCTCCATCTCGTCCGCCAGGCTGCTGCACTCTGCAGGTCTGCTCATCCCGACCCTCCTTGTGGTCCGCTTCTCTCTCTATCTCTTTCTGTCTGTCTCTTTGCTTCTCCCCCTCCCATGCTGTGGTCAAACCTGCATCATGCTCTTCTTTGAGACGGCGTTGCAGCCTCGGCCAGCAGCCACCCGTCTCACCAACTCTTTTCGGAACGCGGTCAACCCCAGGTGGCTACCCGACGACAGCTGCCTCTTCTCGGTGAGCAGCGACTGGTCTCTTCCGCTCTGCCCCTCTCCCTGGGGTCCCGGATGCCTCCGGTAAGGCAATCAATCATTCAGTCAGTAGGCTAGCCAGCCAGCCAGCCAGCCAGCCGGTGACCACAGCAGTCACAGGCACACATCCGCTGCATGGCTGCCGGCCAAGACGAAATCGTACCTGTCGTGCTCCGTGTGCTCTCGCACAAACTTCCCCCGTGGGTCGCGGGTGCGCCGTCACATCGCACAGAGATGGGATGCCCGGGAAAGGTCCGATACTGCAGGAGGCTGTTGCGCCAACGTCGTTCAAAGCAAATCCTCCTCTTCCTCCTCGTCGCCGTCGTTGTCGCCATTAAACCACGATACATACATACACACATACAGTCACGTCCGCTTCCACCTGCGCGCGGCCCGCATCGCATCACTGATTGCTTGATTGATTACGTTACGTGCTGATCCCTGCAACAAAACCCCATCTGCTTGTCTTTTTCCCATCTTGACCCCAACTGCTGCGCAGCGGCATGCCTATGCCCATGCCCACCCCTCCCCCCCCCCCCCCCCCCCCCCCCTCCCCGTGCGGCTTGACGCCCCCGAGTGAAACATCCTGGGCAAAACGTCGACGCCCTCTTCTTCCGATGGAAACTCATCTGAACCATGACATACCGTTTGGAGACTGACTTGTGGGGCGGCCCGTCGACTGACAACCGCAGAGGCGCATCTCGCGTCTGCGCCAGAAATTCATGTTCCATCTGTTCAAACCGACTGACAGCTTGGCTCACCTCACATCTGTCTGTCTGTCTTCCTACCTTGTCTGTGTTCAGACCAAGCTTCCAGACGCTCTCGACTCGACATGACATCCCCAGCCTGACGGACAGTCTTCCAGTTCCTCGCAACACCATCCACGCCTGGATTCCAAATCAGTCGCAATATTCTGCATCCTGAATCATGGATCACCAACAACACGCCCACAGAGGCACCTACAACCACGCGCCGTCCCCTCCTCCATCCAGCCCATCATTTGCCATGCTCACCGCTCTGCGCTCCGTGTCGTCCATTTTCAACCACGCCAAGTTCTCGCTCGACACCACCAGCAAAGCCGCCTGCTCTGCATCGACATTCCCCGATCAAGCCACCCTCGTCCTGGTCTGGACCAGCAGGTCCCCTTTCGCCCTAGTCCACGCCGCCTCCAGACCTCGCCATGCACTCGAGACGCAAGACTCACGCTCGCTCAGCGCAGCAAGGGTGCAAGGGTTCCCATTCCCTACGCCGATCCTCCCTCAGCCTCCCCGCCGTTTGCTTTCAATAATATCCTCCCAGGACTCATCCACGGCCCACCCCCACCCTCCAAGACGACCCCTCCTTTAGCAAACGAGGACGCTCCTCTCCAGTCTTCCGTCGTCTCCGTCCCCTCCATCTTGGAGATGGGCCACGCCCGTTTGGGTCTACCAGCCCTCGGCGTCCACCCTCGACCACAGCAAACGGTCGTCGTCGTCGTCGTCGTCGTCGTCGTTGCCCTGCCTAAGCTTGTGTGGCGTCGCGTCAAGTGGCTCCGTGCGCTCGACGACTTCGAGGTCGTCCCGTCTCCTAGTGGTCGGCCGCCCATATCTCATGTATAAGGACGGACGGCTATGTATGCGGCCGGTGTCACTCGCAGCAGTTCGCAGCCCGCCCTCCCGATGGTACATCCCGATGCCACAAGCACGACATGTCTTCTATTCTTTCGTCCGTCTTTTGGCTCTCGGATGTGATTCGATTCCTCCCCAGCGGGAACCTGAGGCCCAGGTCTGAAGTTGACGATACACTTTCTCGGATTCACGGCGCCTGCATTCTCGATCTTTGACTATTCGGTATTGAATGGCGGTCACCAGAGCGGCCGCATGGGGAACACGTCAGACAAATCACGACTAGCCTCCGCTCACCCTTCCCGATCCTCCACACCATCACGCTCTTCGTCCTCTCCCAGCACCCCACACTCTCGATCTTCTCTCATCCAAACAGGATATCACAACCAACGCTTCTCGTATTGTCCTCCTTCCCCTTGTCCCTCCACCAATCACTGCCGCATGACTTGCCCCTTAGCTAAGCTCGAGGCCTCGCCACAAGTCTGCTCGCGAAGATCCCGGGCTGCTCTTCGCGCCCGTACCCCATATTCTTGCCATGCTGACGGCACAAGCCACGTCCAGCCACCGGCCTAGTTTGAAGCGTAGCCCTACGACGGCGCCATGTCAGACCTGATCGGTCGGTTCATCTCTGGGTCGAGTCGAACACCAAGCCAGCTCACACATGGCATGGATACTACTGGCTGTATTTCTTCTTGTCCATCTGGAGGTCTCGCACTTCTGCTCCTCTGCGTTTGCTGTAATTCTCCGCATTTGATCACCTGGGGGGGGGCCCCTTGTCATCCACAACTGCCATTCCGACTTCCGACTCCCTCGCTCTGAGCGAATAGAGACACCCTGCTGTTGTCTTATGCTTAACAGAAATCCCGAACCGACGTCCAGCCAAGTCTCTGCGGTGGCACTGACCCTGCCGTGGGCTGCCGTCGACAGGGTGTCCTCCAAACAGGGAACCAGCTGCTAGTCGCAACACCATCTCTATTGGCAAGCTCCATCTCCCCCACCCTCTTCTGCGAGATCGTCTTGCTCTAGATATCGAGAGAGCGCATCACCCTCGAACCCCATGATCCCCACCCACCCATCCTTGCCGGCGCGTCCCACTCCGCCCTCTTGTGGCCTGGCTGGTATACCACGATGTGTTCTCTCTCCTCTTGGAAGCACGCCGGTAGTCTCGGATCTTGCCCTCGCGACGCGTCGTCGCCCGCGTGGCTGCTTCCCGTGGTGATACGAAAGCTGTCCGTCCCAAAACCTTCAGACACATCTCCACTCTGGTTGTAGCGGAACGGTGACATTCCCGCACGGCTGCGCCAGCCTAGGGAACCGGGGAAGTCCCTTTGACGAACCTTGAAGTCAAGGGTGACTGGGCCCTTTTTTTGCCAGCCCTGATGGGGCCTATCTGGTCTGCTGATGAAGGACGGAGGAACTCTTGACCACCGCACGGCGCGAGCCTCCGGCACCACTCGAGGCCATGCCATGCTGAGGCAAGGCCCGGTCACGCTCCCAACTCTAGGAGCATTTGTTCCCGTCATCTTGACCTCATATCGAACCGATATATTGACATGCTGGTATCCATTCGTGGCTGACGATGGGAGTCGGGCACGGGATGTGGCGCTCATCAGCCACTCGGTCCCGAAGGTCGTCGTCGTGAGGGTTGTCTCCTTTGTAAAGCCTGTTTTTTTGTTTCATGCAAGAAATCGTTCGACGTCGCCCAATCACGGCGCTAGCTGCCCAATACCCAGATCAAGCCACAATCCAAAGCCCTGGGATCCAGACGGAACTTCCTCTTGGCAGCGGCTAGGCGGTCACGGACGGTACGCCCGTCTGCGTAGCAAGCTCGAGGGGGAGGAGGGAGGGAGGGGGGTTGTGACTTGCCATGTGACTCAGACCTGCGGCCAAGCGGTGTGGATGGATGTCTCAGAAGCTATGTGCTTTCCTACGTACGGTGTGCGGAGACGCGTCTGCGTCTGCTCGGGGCTGGGGAGCCGCTGCCGCTTCGTATTATCGCAGATAAGCCTGTATGCCTTTTTGCTTTGCCTGCCTGCCGCCTGCTGCTATCTCGAGTATGCCGGACTATCCTCAACCTTGGTTTTCTAACAGCTTGCAGGCGAGGCCAAGGGAACTGCCGGGGCGACTATTCCCGATATAATCCAGTGTGGCCCGCTAGTCTATCGAGAGAGCTAGCCCGTAAGTACAAATATGCCATGAAGGTCCAGTTGGGACTGGGCATTACACCGGCACTGTCGAGATGCAGCTCTCTGATTTGTCACGACGCTTGTTTGTGTTTTGATCAGCTGGACTTGAATATTCTCGGGGAGGTCGCACAGTTTCAGCTAGGTGTCGTTCGATGTGGACTTGCCCACCCCCTGAGGACTTGTTTTACGATATGCGTCTCCTCGGGTGCGAGAAAAAGAGGCTGGCGAGGTTGTGTTTTCGAGGGGTGCGACTCGCGATGGTTTCCCACGACGGCAACCAGCATGACGAGAGGATGCGGATGAATCCTGTAGAGCAGCGCTACTGGAGGAAGAACTTATTGGTCTGCGACAGATTCTCAACAAAACTTTGAGGGGTAGGATGAGAATGTGCTCGGCAGCTGCTCCAAGGGCTTGATGGGGAGGCAGCCGGATCCTCTACGATCTCCTCGTCTTCTTCGTGTTGGTGTTGTTGTGCTTCGCTCATGAGACGAGAAGCCCCTGGTCGTTGGCAGGTCTTGTCAACTGGTGAAGGCTGGCGAGGACAAATGTGTCCAAAGATGACCTGTCGATTAGGAAATGACAAAATCCAATGTTAAGGAGGGGGCAGTGGGTGGAGGCAACGCCGATGGGCTTTGTGATCTCTGGAGACGCTGGTTCTGTTGTTCCGACCGTAATCCCCGCAATTTGAAGTCGATGTTGAAGTTAGAGGGATATTAGACTCAGCAACATCTTATTTACACTTGCAGTTGTACAAAGAGCTCATGTATTCATTTTCACGCAGTGCGTAGCACCTCGTGAATCTTGACAAGACAGCCAAGGAGCTAGGACTTCTATATAAACAGACTCTCTACTGAACATCACAGCTGGAGAGGAATTATGAGCTACTCAAATCTACGGTCGTCCAAGGTAGATACAAGATCCTGGCTTTCGTGACCAGGTGTTTGCCCGTGTCGCCAAAGATGTTCTACAGTATCTGGCGCCCTGTCTACTGCATGGCAGACACTTCCATTCAGATGGGAAAGAGGATCTGTCGATCCAGCTGCGACAATCACGCCATTTCCTTTGAATCCCGCTCTTCATGATGGAATCTATGGTTTTTCTATGACGCACAATCGAAAACGCTGAGCAAACATGGTCTAGTAAACACGGTGGGCATATTTGCCCCTGATGAGCTCCCCCTTTTTCATAATCACCCAGGGTATCGGCGCCATAAGCAAAGCAAAGGCAGCAAGAATCGTATTCCCCCACCCCAAACCCAAAGCGTCGTATAACGGAGGTCCTGCGAGAGGAAGGAATGCCCCAAAAATACTCCTAAAAATTGTCGAAGCGGCGAGAGCTGACGCAGCGTGCATAGTGAATGCATCGACAAGATACGAGGCCAGCGGGCCAAACACAAACAAGATCCCGACCCCAACAATGAAAGTTCCAATCATCGGCACCAGCCAAAACACCCCCTTTTCTGCCGTCCAACCGTACATTAGAAGCCCTCCTGGTATCACCGGCACAGAATACGCCATCAAAGGAAGGCGAAACTCCGGTCTCCGGGCGCCATGCTTCTGAGATAGTGATGTAGCTACTTTATCTCCCCAGAAAGAGACAATAAGGGTGCCGGTCACTGTACCGATACCGACACCTATGAAGGTAAGGCCGGAAGAGCCTGCGGAGAAGCCGTACTTCTCAGTGAAGACCATTGCTACCGTCGTGAAAAATAGGTACTTGCAAAGGATTGTCAGCTAAATTCGACACGAGTAAAGCGGCTGCCGTACCAAATATCCGTAGATGACTGCAAAGTATGCAGATAAAGTAAACACAATGGGATGAAGTATCAAGAGCCTCAGCGGTCGTTTGATGGCCCGAGAGAAGGCCTCTTGGGGCGAGACGCCGTCGTCTAGAACCGAAGTGTATCTGGGATTTCCCGTACGCTTTCTCGTCTTTTGCGCTCGTTTCTCGAGCAGAGCTTTTGCAGAGGTTTCCCTCAGAATCAGGAGCATTGCGAGTCCAAGAGCACCCGCCTGTGACACGAAGCCTTTGTCAGTGACGTTGTCTTTTGCCTGTTGTACAGACAGCTCGTGCCAAACCTACCATGATGCACATCGCCCAAAATATCCATCTCCAGCCAGCATACTCCGCCAAGAAGCCGCCCGCCGCAGGCCCCAGGACTGGTCCGAGGAGCGGCGCGAGAGAGTATACCGACACCGCTCTACCCCTCAGCGCTGGAGGTGCGACGTCCGCGATCGTGCCACCCCCGATGGACAGTGGGGCTGCACCGGCGCATCCGCTCAAGAAGCGGAATACCAGCAGAACCCCGAGATTTGGCGAGACGGCACAAGCGGCATTGCAGGCGAGAAAGAGCACGTTCGAGATGCTGTACGCTGGATATCGTCCGTAGAGCTCCGACATGGGCGCAGCTAGTCTATGCGTCTTTAGCAGATGCCGCGAGACCGGGACAGTTCGTGCACTTGTGGAATACACTTACACGGGACCGAACACGAAGCCCAGATTGAAGATTGATACAACGAGTGAGGATAGCACACCGTCAGGCGCATTGAAGTCCTTCAAAATCTCTCGGACGGCAGGGGCGGGCATCGACGACGCGATCGCTCTGGGATGTGATCAGGATAAGATATTTCCAAAGAAGATAGTCGGTTGCAATACTCACGCTTGTAGCGTCAAGATACTCACAAGCACAATCTGAATCCACCTTGACGCCATAGCCCAGTTCATCGGATTCTCCGGATCGTACGGCTTGTTCCAGTCCACTACGAACTTTTGTGACGCCGAGTTTCTCTTCTCTCCCCCCGTCACGCTAGAGGCATCGCTCGCCCATGTCGAAAAATACGGCGATCGTTGTGATTCGTCATCGTCGGGTATGCTGCTGAATGCAGCGCCCATGTAAAGGCTCAGCTCGTCGACGGGCCCTGGAGGCCCATTTGCACTTAGTCTGAACCACGAGAACCCCGAGGTTCTTGCGGTCTGTGGTACATCGTCCCAAGAGGGGTCTGATTTTCGTTTCTCCACGGACACCGGAGGCGGGTATTGAGGCTGACCCTCGGCTGATATGATCGAACCGTGATCCTCTTCAACAGCCATTTGTCGCTGCTATCGCCTCAGGGCTGTGTGTCACGAGAACATCACACAGCAAGTTGGACAAGTTCCCACGAGAGAATCAATGGTGGCGTTAGAGGAGCAAGTGTCGAGTGCATCGTGTGCAAATGGCGTGGAACTTGCAAATCTCTGCAGCACAGCAAGATTACAGTCTTTGTTTTTCGGGCATAACCGCCCTTGCGTTTCAATACTAGCCCACTTGCCGCAGCCATACGGTCTTTTAATCAGTGTAAGGCAGACGGTTGCTATTCCTGAGAGCACTATGGTGTTGTAAGTGACGCGGCCCCCACTATATGAGGCACATTCATCTGTTCCAAATAGATTCGATGACAGCCTCTGTGGCTGAAGTCGGCATAGCTATCTGTAGTCATCGAATGCAATCCGTACGGGCATGAACGAAACTGGCTTAGACAGCTGTATTAACGACCAGCAGGCAGTCGCGGTTGGTGACACTGAGTGGCCCAAACTCCCTTACGACAATGCCGTTTAAACCGAGTCTGACAGGTTGGGAAACGGGAAGCCAGCGTGACATGAGGTTCTGGCCGCTGTTGGCGCGGTAGTAAACTTCAGGCCCCTGTTTCAAGTTGTCCGAGACTGAATCGCACATGGCCTTACCAATAGCATGGAAACTTCAACGTCAGCTGTCACTGCCAAGACAGAGCCAGGGTCCCTTCTCTCAACTCCGATCATAAAAGACCACATAAGTCTCGGTCTCCAAAATCGTTCACCCTGAGATGCAGATCGCATCATTGGTGGCATGGCAGCTCGGAGAATGGAAGTGCGCCATGATGCCATCCAATGTGAAAAGAAAACTCATACCGATTATAAGCATAAGAAAATCTTATGCTATGGCTTCCGACGTTGAAGTTGGCTTTGAAGCATTGACTTTGGCAAACGCATCTGGCCCTTGGTGAATTAAGTGTGCATATGGAGCGTTGACAGTGCGACTTCACTTCCAGATCCAGTCACATGCAACAGACCGTTCAAGGTGGGTGAGTTTGAATGGTCTTGTCTGATGGATTGCACTTCTCGTCAAATAATTCTCCAAACGCCAGGCGTGGGCTTGTTGTGAGTGCCCACAGTCTTGACCTACGTTATACAAGTCTGGTAGGGAGCCGCAATGCATGTCAATAACTAAAAAAAATGCTATCATCTCTTCCGGTTTGCAGTAATCATTCTACATTCGCTTCTAACAAGTAACTAATGAGAAATGAAGGAAAGGATCATTGAGGAGGCTGAGGTTCACGGCTTCCATCCAAAACACCCAAAGCCTTGATGTCCTAGATTAAAGAAGGGACTGAGGAGAAGAGCTGAACAACGATTTGAGATAACCGGCACCTGCCAAAGGGTGCTACTTCTTCTTCAGAATGGTTTGGAGATCCTGCCTTTCCAAGTAATTGTGGTGCGCACCTGCCGCGCGCGTCGAGGCGATCCCCACGTTCTGGATTTCACCTCACTCATATCGACTATAAAAAGCCTCCTCTTCTTCCTCGACCTCTCGCAATCTTTCTTTCTAGATAAAACGTGGACGTCGCAACTGAGCAGCCTATCCAAAACATTTCACCAGACAGAGCCGTCTTACCGAGATCGCGAAGCCGATCTTCCTGTTAGTCTAGCGATACACAAAGCAGGTAAGAACAAAAACGGACTTCCAAAAAAAAAAAAAAAAAGGGAAAAAAAAGAAACATCAGCTGACCAGAGACAAGATCCCAGCCGAGTTTTTAGCAACAGCATCGCTGCCATAGGAAACGCAGGCAGCCGTGTTGCCGACGATGTCAAGCCTAACAAAGGCAAGAAGCCTCGTCTTGCCAAACCCCCCGCTGCTGCCAAAGCCAACAAGAAGCTCAAGACTCAATTAAGCAATTCGAAAGAATCCTAAAAACCAAATGCGGGAAACGCACCTTCGTTGTCGCTGAGTTTTCCCGGTATGCCTTCCAGCAGACGAATGATGGGGCCAACATAACACGCATAGTTAACCCAACCGAGAAAACGAGGCAGGAGGAGGGAGACGACGACGACGAAGTTACTGGCAAAGGCATCACCTCGTCGCAGATGTGGGAAGCGGCCTCAGCCATGCCAGCAAACCTCATCGGAGTGCGACGATTCACCGAAGAGGAGTAGGGTCGGATCATGGCCGAATACGTGCGCATACTGGACACAGTTCCGCCCAGGCTTCGCGCTTGAGTCCGCAACATGTGGATGCTGAAGCTGCTTCGCGACGCGTTTGGCAAAGAAGCCACTAAGGTCTAACGGCTTTCGCGCAACACATCGTGGCTAAGGATGCTGCCGAGAGGAAGAAGTCTAACACCCCAGCCTTTTCCTGACAGGCTCTACTCTGCTTCTAATACTCGTTCACTTTGCTTCTTTTGCAACTCTTTTCTCTTCGGCATTCCTTCTTTCTTCCCTTCTAAGTTTTCTTCTTCGCAGTTTGCCGCCTGGAGGCGCAACTTGTTGACTGCCGTATGACTCTCACGGGGAACTATTCGAGGGCCAGGATGGCTCACAGAGAAAACTCTTGCGTGGATGTACCACAGTTATAACTCTATCATGACATTCCTACGTTCTATCCCAAGACACTTTCCAACCACCTTTGTGTTGAACATGACTGGCACAATGTGGTACCATCTAATTCAGCTCCAGCTACTAAGTCTAATCTACGACGCAGTATCTAATGCTGGTGATGTACATGTGTGCAATAAGCAATGCCATGGTCCTGATTTCCTTTCTAGAACATCTGCGGATTTGGCATCTCTATTGTCTGTCCTCGAAACGCTCAAAAAAGCCCCCCCACAAGCCGCAGCAACTTAGTGTTCCGAGCCCTCGGAGGAAACGAATCCAATGTCATGGTCGAGGTCGACTTCGGTCGGTGCAGTAGATTGCGACCGGCCCATGTTGTTGTTGTTGTTGTTGTTGTCAGAGACTTGGGAGTTGGCAACGGTCTCCGGCACAATCTGACTGGAAGCGGGCATAGCTGCCGAGACATTGTGGCTGGAGGTCTGCTTGGGCATAGGCGGAAGCGGGACAGCAAACTCTGACTCCTTGCCAGTATTCTCCTTGTCGTCCTCGCAATTGTCTTTCATGGCGTTGCGCTTGGCAATGTCCTCGTAGCCGTCTGGTCCCTCGTTGTCGACCGGTCCCCGGCGTCAAGGCGGTCGTTCATGGCCTGAATCTGGGCGTCGTGCAGGTCGGTCATTGTATTGCCGTTGGCGCTATTGTTCGTTGTTTCGTTAGCCAAGGTCTGGGCAAGCTCGTCGTTGCGCTGCTTGTAGGCCTCCCAGGCATCACTGAATCTCCAATCGAGAATGGCTGTGATGGTCAGCATGGCTGGATCTGTGGTAAGGTACCTCACGCAGGAAATGAAAGCTCCGTACCGCTGAGGTTGTCGAGCTGTCTGAGGGGCTGTGCCATGTTGACTGTCGTTTTGTTTCTCATCTTCTTGCTGAGATGGAATGGTGGAATCGAATAGCAAACCAATGCTGATGTCGTCGTGGAAGAACCATGGGAGCGCTGACTCGGCTGGCTTTGAAAATGGGTGTGATGGTCGCAAGGCGTGGACCAGCTCGTGCTGATTGGACTGCCACGTTGGATGCCGACAACTGGACCGAAGTGACTGTCCCTACTTTGCCTTACTTTCCGGAAATGTAGGCAAAGCTGAAGAGCAATGGCAGCGACGAGGAAGACGGTGCAGGGATCTGAGCAGGTGCAGCTTTGCCACGAAGGTAAGGTAGCTCCACAAGGAGGCGGCACCAGTACACTGGTCCGACTTACACCACCTGCATGGATGCCGCTGTCTGCTCGCTTTGGAAGCTGCCCTGTTGAGCTCGCCTGACTCTTTCCTTCCTAGAGTCACCAAGACTGACTGGAATCAAGGGAACGAAAACTCGGAATTTCACCTCTGGCCAAAGCTTCGCTTAGCCCAGGCTTCTTCCACTGCCACAGTCCTCCCACCCGCTGTGCCGCCGTCTGCGCCCGGGCGTCTCTTGACTGCGAATTTTCCGAATTTCGTACCTGCCTTTTCTGTTTCTGCTTCTTGTGAGCGCAGGATCTTGTATTTCCCGCAATCCCAGACTGTTATCACTGCCGAACACTGTCACGACGATCTCCCGATCTTGAGTCAAACACGCTCTACAAGTTGACTACTCGGTAAGTCAGTCTCAGCTTATCAGATTGTTCCCTGCTAACCTTGTGACAAAGGTGCGCAGACCGCAAAGCCTCCGATGCGCACAGACGGCCCTCCCGGGGATCCTGGCGGTATCGACGCCAGATGCCCAAGAAATCCTCCGCCGACCACGAACCAAATGCAGGCTACCTCCCTCACGGGTGGAAACCATCCCGTCGTCGTTGTCAGTCACGAGGAAAGCGGTAACAGCCCCTCAATCCACGGGCCCCTTCCAAGCTCGTTGCCAACCTGTCCAGAGGCCTCCAACAGCGCGGAAGTTCTGAATCTTCGGGGTGGAATGGCTCCTAGACGGAAGGCTGGATCTAAGGGGAAGAGAAAAAGGGCAGATAGCTCTTCCGAGGAGGACGAGTTACCTACCCAGTCGGTAAGTTGCAGTCTTACTACAACAAGACCGTTTGTGCTAACAGGTCTTCTACAGTCTGCCCCTGCCTAACAATCTGTGCGCAATGCCCGGTACGCGACAAGATACCGGACGCGGCTTTCCACTACAGGTGGAAGCGTTCCCCAGCAAACCCTCCCCAAGCAAGCTCATATATCCATCAAGATCCCGAGTCTCAGAGTACCGAAAGCCCACCGGACATGTCTCTCGAAACACCTCTCACAGGCGTCCCCACAGGCTCGCAATCTGGATCCGATGCAGACTATGCAGATACCGAGTCCGCGCCCGAGTCTGAGTCCGAGTCTGAACAAGAATCCGATCAATTTGAGCGGCACAAGGCGGAGACCGAAGTGAGACGGGCCGCCGGCACGAAAATGGCAGCAGGCATCGCTCCCTTGGAGACAACTCCCAGTTCTTTCGAGAACGACAACAATCAGTCAGAGCCTACAGTCAAGGCGTTTTCTCCTATCTCTGATGATATTCACGGCGCCAACCCTCAGACAAAGCCTACGACCAAGGCGGATTCGCCCACTTCTGACGAAAGTTATGGCGCAAGTCCCTCGCCTCCTCGCAAGCGAGTCAAGCCGATAACGCCCCAGCTGGGCCGGAACTCAGACAATACCCTTGTCTCGTTCGATATGATTGAACAACTTTCCAAAGGGATTCCTCTTGGCCCTCGCGCTTTGAAGTCTAAAAGCACAACTTAGACTGCCTTGGACGGTTGGGACAAAAACAGGGTGAAGAACGCTTTAGATGGAATTCGGGTTGAATCGACAAAAGCTATGATTACAAGTACTACGGGAAACATCCATTCCCTTGACACTTTGTTGGGTCTGGACGTGCGCCGCAACTATCAGGTTCGTGTTGGGCAGTATCAGAACAAGAGTTCGAGTTCGAGTGTCGCCCAATGGTGGCTCGAGGCTGTAGATCCAGCCTCGCCCGCTGTGTCTGTCCTTTATCGGTTACCAAAGAACGAGTACACCTGAGAAGAGGCGGACGCAATTGCTAGCGAGCTTATCGAGATCTTCAAGAGGTGGCCCGGCCCAACAAATATCCTTGCAAGCTCACCATTCCGAATGCTTGGCAACCCGCGGGCTAGCGTGATTATTGTTCGCTCATTGCGCCTCAAGCTTTTCCCTACCAAATCAATTTTGTGCATGCTTCCACATTTCAGCCAAGCTCAAGGGGCTTGGAGCAATTGGTTTATCATGTCGCATCCCTTACTGGATCCTACCGTATTCTCCTTCTATAAGGACGACAAAGAGCCAACCGCGAGAATGGTGAAGCCAATGGGAGACCTCCCCGAGATCCCTGATATCTACGAGTTTGTTGAGCTATTCGGCAGGGGTATAGCAACTGTCGTCAACATCTCAGAAGAAAGGGTGAGTCTGTTATTTATCCACGTGACCGAATGGTCATGCTGACCATCTACACCAGGGATACTTCACAGACTTTCCGTTCCCAGCAGGCGAGGAAATGCAAAACTCTTTCCATGTCGGTGACCTGGACTTATTGGCGTTAGAAGTTTCAAGCCTTTGCTCCGCCGGCGATGTGCGGAGGTACCTCGCCAGCTACGTGGAGCACTTCAACTCGCGTCTCGCGATGCGCCTCAGCACGAGCGTCACCCGCGTGTACCGTGATCAAATCGCCAACAAACGAGCGATTGAGAAAGATGCAACCCCAGAAAGATGTCTGACAGAGTAATCATAGGGATACATGAGAGGTCCCCCTTACTCCGACCACCCCCCACATGTCTAAACGCGCCCATCAACTACTACCACGTTATGGCGACGGTACAAAATCATACGCCAAAGTATCCTGAGATTAAGAGAATTGAACCACTCCGCGGCGAAAAGCGTTACGCAAAGTCGTTCAAAAGGTACATTTGTGACGAAGACCCACTTCCAAGCCTGGAGTGGTCCGTACCGCCTTTGAGGGGAGAGATTCGAAGGTAAGGATGTCTTGCCCATCAACCTGGGCAACACCAGCGCAGACACAGCGGCATTTTTGGCCAGATAGGCCAATAATCTCTATCCATCACGCAGACATGGATGCCTAGTTGTAAGTTGCCTCTCACCGATTCCTTAGACAGCGGCGCCGTCCAGTCCGTCGACGGTGCCAGCAGAGTCGTTAGGCCTGACAAGGTCGAGCCCATCGACGGCAAAGTCATCAAGGTAGACACGACCATTTACTGCACTGGCTACATCCGACCCGAGTGAAATCATGCCAGATTGGGCCGCCGTCAGGGGTTCGAGGGCCAAGCCGCTGCCCAAGCTACCAAGGCATCCTGCTGAGCCACCCATATTCTCTGGCCTCCCAGCATTCTATGGCGCTCACTTTGAGTCACTTCCAGGTAAATGACTTATCTTCTATGACGGTGACGTAGGTGGAAGGGCAAGCCGGCCCTACCCCCCAGAAGGAGATGGAGCAGGCCATGAGCGCCAAACCTGGATGGGCAGCGTCCTACCCCAGACGGTCAAGCTGCACCAGTGGGCGGACTGGGCTGACCAGACGGCCGGCACAGGCGTGAATGAGTACCTAGGCTGGGGCTGGAAGAGGTGGAATTGCTGGTTCCAGGAGCCCGTATTCTGCAGCATTCTCATGGGCGGCGTCTACAGCCGTGCTTTTGATGGCAAGAGGAAGAAGTGGGGTGGAGCAAGGACAGAGGTTGAGAAGGCTGTACAAGGTGGCCACCAAGACATACCGGTAGCTTGTGGCTTTCTAGCCCATTATACTCAGCTGGATGTCATAGCCGTCAGTATTCTAACCATATAATAACTTGTGGATACAAATGCATTTTAAGGAGGAAAGAGACGAGGTGTCTCTCGACAATGAAACTGGATTTTACCGAGATTCTTCTTTGAATTCATGCCAATTCATTTTCTCATTTTCCTTTGGAACATTTTATTACGGAGCCCCCTAATGAGCCAACTCGTAGGCGCAACAGGTTTCCCTTGAGAATAGCAACCAGCATGAGAAAGCTGGGTGTACTTCACTGTCAGAAGTGAGACGTGAGGAATGTGACGTTGTCTTGGATTCAGTGCAAATCTTACCTCCTCCTCGTCCTTGGCCATCTTGTGTGGCGGGCGTTGGACCTGATTCATGGATGAATTGAAACCGTGCCTCGAGAGAATCGAAAGTCTCGAGCTAATCTGCGGGTGTGCTCCTGAATTTCCGAGCACATAATCATTGTACATGTTGATTCACGCTGTATATGAGTTGCGGGGTTCTTTTACAGTAAGACTGCATTGCATACTTCGTGGCCTACCTCTGGCGGAGCGTTTTCTCAGGCTGACTGTGAATGCTAAAAGGTTATCCAGCGAATTCATGGCATGCTTGTAGGCCCCCAAGTAGCTGGGTTTTGCCTTTAAATTGACTCAAACACCATACCTGCGTAACATATTGCTGTTCAATGGATGATGTATTCTATGTGAACCGTAAGACGACCAATCACCTTCAAATGACCCCCAAGATGGGGTGCAGTACATCGTCTTGGCTTTCAGAATCTGGAATTCAACTTGTTATCAACGTTGGGCCGTGCATAGATTACTTCACCATGAGTAAAGGATGCCCTCAAGACCTAAAGGCTACTGGCTTGCTGCGACTGTCGTTACATGTACTCCAAGCTTTGTACAACATGGGACAATTATCGCTCGCCTGTATGTGTATAGTGTTCTGAAAGTATGAGAACTTTGTAAGAAGCAAAGAGAACTTCGATTTTAGCAGGCACGTCGATCACCGCAAAGATGGAACGGCGATCTGCCACGACGAAGTTCAACCGCAGAAGTTCCAACCAACGGTATCACGTTAGCCGCTGGAAATCTGCGCGAGACATACTGCGGAATTTGGGAACCCGGTCCTGTACGTAGGTATGGGAACGAGGGCCACGACTCAGCCCTTGCAGATGATACTGCATCATGCTGGGTGCAGTGGATGCATGTGTTCGGGCGCCACTCGACAATTAAGGCAGTCCACGCGAATACATCCCTGCTTATTTCCGACTATGTCATGATCGACTGGTGCTTAAATGTGCTTAAAATTGCTTGAATGGCGGGGTTGATAGCACCCCGGCAGTTTGTGGTGGCAGTCCGCGACACGGCCCCAGTTTCGGTGGCGGGACGGACAACTCCTGGGAAATATTACTGGGGGAAACCTGCGGGGCCGGGACCCGGACCGGGGCGCCCATTGTTGGAGAATTTCTCCGTCCACATGGTCGTTCTTGGCACTATCAATCAGATAATGTGACCTCTTTCCAACTGCCATGGTTGATTTCCGATTAGATCTTGGCATCTTACTTCCAATGCAGGGACAGAAAACAAAACAAGTTCAGTTGGCGGTGACTAGGCCTCAGAGTAGGATCGTTGCCCAACGCCTGCCTCTTTCATGGCTGTTCCTTTGGCATCTTTATCTTTCCAACCAGCTTACCTGCCAAATCACGGCGGTTCATTGAGTGAAAATTCATCTCATTGGGCCGCCTGTCCATCATCTTGATTGTTGCTCACCAGCGTAGGATCCGGAAAACCGCAAACCATTTCTCACGAGTTTCTCACAGCTGCGTTCCTTCAGGTTTAGTCCACCAATGATCGACTCACGAAATATCAGCTTGTTTTCATGGTCGGAAACTGTTCAGCGATCAAGTCTCTTGCGCTCGTCTATATAACGGCTCCATAAGATTCACTTCTGTTGGATCGTAATTCATCATCACGGACTTTGATTCCAATTCGACCTGACTTCTGCATCAAAGACATACAATCAATCATGTACTTCCCAAAGGCAGGTGTCGTGGCTCTGCTGGCGGCGTTGCCGTCCACTCTGGCTTGTCTCGGCTACGAGGGTGGTCTTCCCACTCCTACTAGCACCAAGACCAACAGCAAAGTCATTGAGGTGGCAGCTGGTGCCACGTTCGATGGTGGCTGGGCTAAGTATGACCGTGGCTCGGGTGCCTGCAACGAACAGGCCGAAGGAGGTAAGAAAGTTTCCGTACAGCCACAAATAGCGTGTCTCACAGATGTCTTCAGGTGACGCCGATGCCGTATTTCTGCTCCGCAAAGGCGCAAAGTTGAAGAACGTCATCATTGGAAAGAACCAGGCTGAAGGTGTGCACTGTGACGGACCCTGCACTCTCGAGTTCGTTTGGTTCGAGGATGTCTGCGAAGACGCCATCACTATCGTAAGTACCGCTCGCATGTTTTTTTGTTTGATAAGAATGAAGCGATGTTTGACACCGAATGCAGAAAAATGACAAGGCAGGTGAAGAAACCTGGATCATCGGTGGTGGCGCCTACAAGGCATCCGACAAGATTGTCCAACACAACGGCTGTGGAACTGTGAACGTAAGTTCCTGGGGACCCTTATGTCCTGTTTTTGGCGCTAAAATATATGGTAGATTATCAACTTCTACGCCAACACATATGGAAAGTTGTACCGCTCTTGCGGAAACGTAAGTCAACACCATGGATCCGATCAACACCACAACACGAACTCACGATATATCTTTGAATGAACAGTGCAGCAGCCAGTGTAAAAGAAACGTTTATATCGAGTGAAATTCCCCGTTATCCCTTGAAAAAGATCATAAAAAGTCTAACAACCAGCAGGGGAACCACCGCGTACAACGGCGGCGAGTTGGCAGGTATCAACTCGAACTACGGCGACACCGCCACCCTCAAGAACGTCTGCACGGACGCAAAGGTCAAGTGTCAGATGTACAACGGCTGTGCCGGTGGCTGCGAGCCCACCAAGTCGGGTGTTTGCTCTGGCTAACAGTTGGTGGTGCTGTTCAACATCATACGCCCCTTTCCACCAGCAAAACCAAACCCGGCCCTTCCTTCCTGGGAAAGAAGTGGGAACACGGCCTTGCCTCCTTCCTTTCACATTGCAGACTGTCCTGTCAGCACTTTGTTACTTGTACATACAGATCTCAAGACAATCGCCCTCACCCGGCGATCAGTGACGTATATAGCCTTTTTCCAAGAATGATGATGATCGTCTTTATCCATCTTGATTTGCAGCGAAAACATTATCTCATGCCCATCAGAAGTATTGATGGGGCTCAGTACAGATAGAGTTTGAAAACCATTGGGTGGATTTTCGCATGCCGCTGGTCGGTTCACACACAGTATGAATCCGAACTTCGACGTCATGTACCAATTAGTAACGTCCGCGTGAGAAGCCACTTTCCATTCATAAAAGCCCAGTTTTAACGTTGGAGAATGCCGTCACTCATTGGCAGTGACAAATATGGACATGTATGGCTCAGATTTTGCTTTCTTACATGTCGGCGCAATGACCAACCGCATTTACCTTGAGGGCGCGAAATCCACGACAGATCTCACGGTCTCCCCGAAATCAGGCGACTGGCATGTTTTTCAAAAGGCAAAGCTTTCTCTTCGTCATCAGAATTTTCCCATGCCCGACTTCACAAATCCCACCGAGTCGCAAAACACGTAAACAAGTTGATACTGCTGCAATGATGCGCAACGAAGAATCGAGACCGTCCCAAAGCCGCGCTTCAACACTTTTCAGCCGCCTCAAGGCAAAATTCTCCTGCAACGCTAAGAGATCGAGCATCAACCCCGATGGAGAAAAGGATATGTTGGCTGCCGGAAGTCAAGTCGAGAAGCAAAGCAAAAGCGATTCGGGCTTGACCAAAACTCTTGAGAGCAACGAGAAAACTTCGCAAATGCAGCAAGTCAACGCCGAGAGAAGGGTTCGTCGCAGAAATATATTCACCAAGTCCAAATTCAAAAGCATAGTGCCGAACGACCACAACAACGACAAGGAGAGCGAAGAGAAGAATAACTCTAAGCGAAGCAAGTCTGAACTCGACAATCGAAGGAAGAAAGAGAAGGCGAAGATAAGGACGAGGACAGTGTCACCCACAAGATACTCCGACAGTGGCTCCAACTACCATTCTGACGCCATCAACGCAGCTATACTTGCCTCTATCACTGGAATCCCACACCACGGCCCTTACAACTTTGGCAACATGTTTAGTGGCGGTGATGACGGTGCATTTGGAGGTGGTTGCGATACTGGGGGCAGCGGCTTTGACGGTGGATTTGGGGGTGGTTGCGATACTGGGGGCGGCGGCTGTGATTCTGGTGGGTGCGATGGTGGTGGTGGTGGTGGATGTGATTAATCGGGACCTGTCTGCGGATGTTTGATTTTCCACGAAATATAATGTAAATCCCGAATTTCGAAGACTGCACTTATCTGCATATTGAAGACTGATCTTTGCTCTAAAAATCGAAAGATAAAAACACCATGCGCATCAAACCCCAGACAGAACAAAGGGTGATATAGCGTGTGGTTTTCTAACCACCAGTCTTAGATTATGAGGTCTCAATTACGTGTCAACCCTTGTCCCCCTGATTCGCACCGCCCGTTATAACATGAGGCCTTCTACGTATTGGAGCAGTCGATTGGGTGATCGGAATACAGCCCACCCCCTCAATGTAGCTTCCCATGTCCGCCAGGACTCAGCTCCATCCTTAGTGATTACTTATAGACAGAATTATCTCAATATTGCATGAATATGTGAGTAGGACTCGAGACGCGAATCGGGCACCTTATACTATGGCAAACACGATTCAAAGAGGGCACTAAACGCTCGCGTTGCAATAACAGGAAATGGCTTAGACGCCAGTCGCATACATAATTTTGGATAGGTTACTTAAACAAAAAAATTGACATTTATGGAATTGCAAGCAGCAGGCACTCTGTTGCTGAGAGGAACGCTGTCATGGAGCACCATGGGCGAAGCCTCTGATACACCATCTGTATTCTGTTTTTCGTTCCAATAGCTACAATCAGGCCCGATTTAAGACCTATGCATGAATGACACTGGCTGTGCGGCAATATCAGCGAAGCACGTCGAGGAGCAAGCTCCATGTTTACATGATGACAATCTTTTCACATGTGAGGAAACAGACACACCCACCACCCAAAGAAATGGCTAGGGTGAAAACAAGGTTCAGCGAGGTTGAAATCGGGTTCGGACGACTTGCGGGGCAGCAGCCTCCTGACGGTGAGGTTTCGCGCGACTTGATTCGAGCGCGTACTGAGTTTGCCTCGGCACATCATTTCTGCGATGTCACGAATGAACCGGCGCAAACTCATCCAATAATAACAACCCACTTTCAACTTCCAGTACCAGACATCCCGCCGGTAAAATACGACGCACTACCGCTTTATTGCCCAACCCATGGCTACACGTGAGCAGAGGTAGGCCACACCGTTGACAGTCTCCGCATTGAACGCGACATTAGCTTGGCCAATTTCAACATTGCGATCATGCCAGATCTGTAGCCAAGCTTCGCATCGGTTCTTGCACGACGTAACGCCGAATATACCGAGCCGCTCGTATCTCCACGCCTCGTTGCGACGATGTATCATGAAGAATCGAACATTATCGCAGACTGTCCATGAATGACAAGAGCCAATGCCCTAAAGCTCGATGATATTGGGTTGCAGATGGCCTCTGTTGTTCGTTGTCTGACTCGGGCGCGTACCTCCTAGCCTGTTAACCGGCTGCGACTTCCCCGCAGTCCAGGTCTCAACAGCCGGGATGCTCGTCATCACGAGCGGTCCTTGGAGACTGTGGGGTAGCAAAGTGCGGAGAAGCAGGGGTGTTCGGGGTAGCTTGAATGACACGGCAAGCTCCCGTTCGCTCTCGGTGTAACGGTTACCACGACGCTTTACCTCTGCTGATGCGCTAGGTCCCTGATGGCCACTTGCGAATGACATGTTCCTGGCTTGAAGCTTGCGTCACGACAAGAGGAAATGATCTTCCATTGGATCGTGGAGGGGCATACTCCCCCAGCCTGGTGCTACCCAAGACGGCCGGTCGAGTTCTCGGGCAGAAATATTGATGTTTACCAGCCATGTGGTTGATCAACATCCCGCGGCGGCGGAAGTCGGGGCCGAACGACTGTATATAAAGAGACTAAGGTCCATTTGCCTAATCAATACTGAGTGATGTGCCAAGCGTCTTTCTGAAATACACAGAGCGCTCCACACCATGCCATCTTTTCGCCTCTGGCTTTCCTCGGCACTCGCCTTCGCGGCGATTGTGAGGGGTCAAGATGCCACAGCACAGGTTGAGGCAGCTCTCGCGGCCCTTACTGTTACCAACGTCGACGATGTTCGTGGTAACCTGTACCTGCCAACTGCCATCAACGGCATCAACATTACCTGGGCGAGCAACGCGTCTTCAATCATCTCGGATGACGGCGTTGTGAAAAGGCAAACTGAAGATGCTCACGTCACTCTCACCGCCACGATCGAATATGATGGCGTGAGTCAACAGAGGGATTTTGTTGCATCTGTCCGCAAAGCCGTTGTGCTTGACCCCTTTGAGGGATACGCCTTCTCTTATTTCACTGGAAGTACAACTGCCGGAGAGAATATTTTCTTTGCTGCTAGCCAGGGCAATGATGCCTTGGACTGGACGGAGCTGAACGGCGGCCAACCCACCTTGACTTCATCCTACGGCACAAAAGGTCTTCGGGATCCGTTCATCATTAGATCACATGAAGGCGACACCTTTTATCTGATCGCGACTGATTTGTCGATTGGTTCCGGTACATCCTGGGGCGACTCCGTCAGGATTGGGAGCCGATACCTCGAAGTTTGGGAGTCGAATGATCTCATCAACTGGTCTGCCCAGCGTCACGTCCTGGTTTCCCCTCCCGAAGCAGGAAACACCTGGGCTCCGGAGGCTTACTATGACGAGGATCTTGGCGCATACTTGGTTTTCTGGGCTTCGTCTCTGTACGAAGACAGCGACGTAAACCGCACTGGTAGCACCTACCACCGCATGCTCTACGCAACAACTCGAGATTTCGTCACCTTCAGCGATACGCAGGTTTGGCAAGACGCCGGTATGTCGCGCATCGACTCGACTGTCATCAAGTCCGATGGCACTTATTACCGTTTCACCAAAGATGAGGGTGCTAGCGGCACCGGGTGCAGCGATATCATCCAAGAAAGCTCAGCATCCCTCCGTGCTACCCTGGAATCATGGACCATCATCGATTCTTGCATCGGCAAGAAAGCCGGAACCAGCGCCGTCGAGGGACCGACCTCTTTCAAGTCCAACCCAGGCGATGTGCATGGCGAGAAGTTCTACCTCTTCGTTGATGAATACGGCGGCCGGGGTTACATTCCCCTGGAGACTGCTGACATCGGCAATCCCGATTGGACGGTATCGAGCTCTTACAATCTCCCTTCAAGCCCGCGTCATGGCACCGTTATTCCCGTCACTGCAGCCGAACTTGCTGCACTGACGGGAATAACAACAACTCGTCGAGATGTCAGCGCAGATGGAGAAATCCTTCGCTATGACTTCTCCTCTGTTGACGGTACCACAGTTCAGGATGTTTCGGGTAATGGCAATAGCGCAGTCATCAATGGCGGAGCGACCATCACAAACGGTGCTCTGACGTTCGACGGCCTTGATGACTATGTCAAGTTGCCTGACAACGTCATCGCTGGTGTCACAAACATTGCAATTGAGGCAAAGGTTCTCGTCGACGCTTCTCAGCAGACGCCATACTTTATCTACGGTCTCGGAAACACGGTGTCTGGTTCTGGAAGCGGCTATCTCTTCTCCACCGGAAGCCCGTACAGGGCATCGATCACCACCGGCAACTGGACGGGTGAAAAGACGTCTTCCTCTGGATCTCAGCTCCCTTCAGGAACTTGGCTGCATTTGGTCTTTACTCAGCAAGGCCGTACTACTGTGATTTACCTCAATGGCT